TCACTTGCTCCCACAGCTGGCCAGGGGTTGGGTTAAGAGACACCCCCCCCCCCCAGCTCTGTGACTGCCTGGGTGGCCTTTGCAGAGATGCTGCCCAAGCTGGCTAGAAGCAAGGTATGTGGCTTGGGCCCTGCTGTAGGTTTGCAACCAGCCTGCCTTGCTCCCCACCTAGGAAATCGTCCACAAGGGCCACTTGGTCACCGCGGAGACCTTCAGTTTCCTGCTTATGGGTTGCATCCAGGACAAGAAGACAGGCTTCCGATATGCCCTGCAGGTCAGTCCCTCCTACCCTGAGCCTCATGCGCCGGGGTGCAAAGCAGGTTGTGTGCGTGGCCAACTTTGGCCCTCCTGGCAACTATCATGTGGCACCTGGAGCCCCTGTTTTGTAGACAGCAGGAAACAAAGGTGTGCAGATGGGCAGAGACTCTGCCCCCTAAACTCCCTGCTGACCCCCTGTAGTGTGATCACTAGGAGTGCAGAGATCAACACATCCAACCTGAATCCCACCCCACTTACCCCCATGCACACATGCACGCAGTCCCCTTCATTGCAGGATTGGTTGGTGTTTACATGGGTGTTGTGGCTGCTTCTGTGGCCTCTCAGTGTCATCCTCTGCATCCTAACGTGTGTGTCAGAGACCAGCAGCAATCCCAGCCCAGCCTCCCATCCTGTCCTCTTTCCAGCAAGCTCCCCCCGCCCTCCCTAAGCAAAACCACAACTTATTAGGACCTCAGGCCTGTGTCCCTCTGCAGAATTCCCAGAAGCTGTGGCTGCCCAGCTGGCCTCCACCTCCTAAGATCAGCCAACACATTCCCCTTGGCCTTGGTCTGTTCTGGTTAAAGTACCCTATTGTCCTCAGGGGGTGTTTGTGCTGCACAAACACTGAAATGCCTCTGCCCGGCTCTGTGAGTCCCATTCTGCAGGTGAGGAAATGGAGATTGGTGGAGATTTGAAACTTCCCTGAGGTCCCACATCCACTGAGCGCTGAGGCTAAGACTGAAGTTGACGTGACCCTAGAGCTGACTCCCTGCTACCATCATGGGGTAGCGCATGTCCCTTCCACGTACACACACACTCCTTGTCTGTGTGGCTGCCCAGATCCTCACCATCCTCAAGATCCTGCCCCAGTAGGCGGTTGGGACCTGGCCTGCTGCTCTCCCGGGCAGCTTTGGGAGTGCCATTCATCCGGTGAGCTGGGATGTCAGGCGCCACCCTGGCCCCAAGTTCGGTATAGATGCCTGTCTGAGCCTGCAGATGAAACACATAAGCTAACTGGCATCATAGAAACAACAGCACAGTCCTGGCCCAGATGTGACCCGAGCGCTGTGGGTCACCCCCACACATGTGCTGGGTGTATGTTGCAAACATGGGAATGGCTTGAGATGTGGGGTTTAGGCCACAGCCTGACAATCTACATTGCTGGCTCTCTCTGCCTCTGTCCTGCCCTGCATCTGACATGACGAATTCAAGTCTCAGCATCTAAGCCTCAGCCTTGGGGCCTGTGGCTAGACATGCATCAGGTAAATGGGAGGCACTGCTGAATCTCAGCCTGCAAAGTCAGCCTAGACTCTTCTAGAACCTAGCCTCTTTGGCCAGCCCTACCATAGGGGAGACGAAGGAGATGATGGGCAGAGATCTCAAGTAGAAGGGTTCTGAAGAGATGGTAGAGGGACCATACTGGTAGAACAGTTTAGGGGTGAGCTTGAGGAAGGAGAGGAGAGCTGCTGGAGTCTGGAGTCAGGTAGACACTTGTCAGATTCTTCTGGTCCCTTTAAAAAAAAAAAAAAAATATATATATATATATATATATTATATTATACATATTATATGTAACATATACTGCATATATATACATATACATAGTGTTTATATGTGTATAGATATGTGTATATGTATTCTCTGTGTGTGTGTGTATATGTATATATAGTGTTTTACTATGTTACCCAGGTGAACCTTGAACTCCTAGTCTCAAATGAGCCTCACATCTCAGCCTGCTGAATGCTGGGACTACTGACCCACACCATTCTGCTTTTTTTTTCTTCTTTTTTTCTGGTATTGGGTGGAACCCAGCTTTTCACTGTGCCTTGAGGGTTTTAGGTACCTTTTGACTTTGCCATCTGATTCCTCACTCCCCTGCTGCTGGAGGCCTTGGATTGGTAGAACTCTGAGCCAGTGTGTGTGTTTTCCTCACAGGTGTGGAGGCAGATGCTGAGTCTGGGAATCAAGCCAAACCAGTATGGCTACAACTTGCTCTTGGGGGCAGCTCGGGACTGCGGCCTGGGGGACCTAGAGTTGGCCTCCAGGCTGCTCCTGAGGCCCCAGGAAGGCACAGTTCTGCTCCAGCCATCAACAGGCAGGCGGCGGGTAGGAAGGAAGGGCCAGTTCAAATTAGGTGATGGTATGGCAACAAGACTCCATGTTGAGGCACTGGAAAAGGAGCTGTTTCTGGAACCTTCTCAGGCACTAGAGGGGCCTCCAAAGCCTCGGGATGCGAGGGTGCCTAGCAAAGCCCAGCCCGAGATGGAAATGGAGGCACAGGCCGACCACTCAGCAGCCCTCGCCCCACTGGCCCTGAGGCCTCCTCCCATGGAGCCAGAGGTCAACCTCCTGGCTCTCGGGGCTGTCTCCCCAACTGTGGTCTCCTTTGGGAACGTGGCCACTCCTGCTGACAGGCTGGCCTTGATGGGGGGCCTAGAAGGCTTCCTGGGCAAGATGGCAGAGCACGGGATCCAGCCAGACATCAAAACCTTCACACTGCTGGCAGAGGTGGTAGAGCCTGGGAGCCCTGCAGAGGCCTCGCTGCTGACCTCACTGGACACACACCAGGTGGAGGCTGATGTGACGTTCTACAACACGCTGATGAGGAAGAAGAGCAAGTCAGGGGATCTGGAGGGGGCAAAGGTAAGGGGCTTGGCTGGGGGTGGGCAGGCCCCAGGTACACTCCCATGAGCCCCTTTTCCTCTTCCTCTCTGGATCCCATTGTGAAACGTAGCTCTAGAGCCCAGGCCCTGCATGATGCCGGCAGCAGAGTGCACTGGGAGGCCTTTGAGCAGACCCGGGCCCCTGGGGGCTCCAACAGCCCATCCAAGGCTTCAGCACAAGTCCTCCCCTGGGGGGCGAGCCCCAGAGGACAGACATGATACATTTGTCCTCACAGGCTCTGCTGCCAATCCTGGCAAAGCGAGGAATTGTCCCTGATCTGCGGACGTTCTGCAACCTGGCCATTGGGTGCCGCCAACACAAGGACGGTCTGCAGCTGCTCGCAGACATGAAGGTGAGGGGGTCCAAGCAGGTCTCCTGTGGTAGTGCACAGGGTAAAAGTTGTCAAGGACATGGGGGTACAGACCCTTTATACTTGGGAAGGGTAAGTGGACTCCACTTCCAGCATAGAGTGGCATCTACCCTCTTGGGGACCAAGGGGAGCTGCTGTTGGACTTGGCACAGAAACAGGCCATTTCCATACTGAAGATGGTGCTCTTGGGGGGCCCATGGAGGGGATGGGAACAGGTCTGGGCCCAAGCACCCTGGAGGGATGAGAGGTATTTCTAGAGGACAACGAATTGGAAGTCTTGGGGGTCAAAGGGCAGTTATTACTGCCTTGACCAGTTCTGATACATACCCTGCCTGGCCCCCATTGGATCTTAGTGCTAAACGGATTTTATCTGAGCTTAAGAGGGCGCTGTCTTCGGACCACATATACCCCTCATGGTCAGCCTATGGCAGCTCCTCTCCAGGGTGCTGCCACCTCCCTGTCCCCAGGAAACAGTCAGAAGCAAGGCCCTGGAAGCTCCTGTGACCTCAGCAGCAGGCTTCTCCCAAGTTTTTCTGTCCTTTTGGAGGGGGAGGATGGCCAGTGTTGGCCTTAAGGCTCCACCCTTCTGACCCCAGAGCAGGCCTGATGATGACTGCCCCTGCCATCATACCGCTGTGTGCTTTCATTTCAGAGATCCCAGGTGACCCCCAATACCCACATCTACAGCACCCTCATCAACACAGCCGTCAAGAAGCTAGACTATGCCTACCTCATCGACATTCTGAAGGACATGAGGCAGAGTGGTGTCCCTGTGAATGAAGTGATCATCCACCAGCTGGAGTTTGCGGCCCAGTACCCCCCCAACTTTGACCGAGTATGTGCCCCAGGCTGAGCATTGCCTTCTTGGCCAGGGTCACCCTGGTTCTGGCCTTTGGGGGCTGTCTAGCAGCTTCTTGGAGAACCCTCTCCCTCTCCCCTGGAGATAGTTGTGGTCCCAGGACGGAGGTGCCTTCAGTGTGGGGGCAGTGAGTGGATGAAACCCAGTGTCTATGGCTTGTGGGGCTAGGAGACCTCCAATGAGATGACACTGCCTGGGCAGGGATGTGACCTGCCCAGTGGGGTGGCCATCTTGCCAGGAATCAGGCTGACAACAGCTTTTCTGCCTTTCCCTGTAGTCTGCTAGGAGGCAGCAGGGAACAAGGCCAAGCCAGCTGATGGGATTTGGGGTTGGTGGCAAAGGCACACAGTGACCCTGATGCCCTCTTTACCATTACAGTACAAAGGGAAGAACACCTACTTGGAGAAGATCGATGGCTTCAGAGCCTACTATAAGCAGTGGTTGAAAGTGATGCCAGCAGAGGTGGCCCCCCACCCTTGGCAGGAGTTCCGGACCAACCCCCAGAGGGACGAAGACTCGAGTGAGGACACTGGTGTGGACAAAGGCCATGGGGGACAGAGGTGATCAGAGGCTATGTGGGACAAGATGCCCTCACGCTGTCCAGAGGAGCCCCAGGGGTCCCCTCCACCTAGTCAAGGGAGAGGCTGTGGCATCTACATAACAGGCACTGTGCTGGTATGAGGCACATTTGGAACCTACGGTGCCCACACTACAGCAGGGAAAAAGCAGGTCCAGTCACCCCTGCTCAGGTCAGCCAGACCCGTACAGTTTTCATCTTCACTGAGGAAGCACACTTGCTCAGGGCCACCCTGCACCTAGCAAGGGGAAGCAGGACGCCCAACTCAGGACCAAGAGGTGGAAAGGTTTTATTTTTACAAATCACAGCTGGTGAATGCCAACGCTTTCACCTGTAGAGGCCACCCACAAATGGGGCCTGAGGAACTGCTCTGACAATAGCCAATCCTAGGAAGGAGTGGGCACAGTCAGCAGGAACCTGCGAGGTCCACAGTCCAGGATGGAGAAGGGGGTCTGGGCCAGGGGTCTCAGCCGGAGCAGCCACGGCAGCCACAGTGTGTGCACTCGATGATGCGGCCCTGCAACAGAAGACACTTGTGAGACTGCAACCCACTGCCATATCCCTGCACCCACGGAACTAGTAGGACATTCCCTATGGGAAACATGAGAGTTCTAGAGGGAATTTCATTCCCTGTGTGCATTTCATTTATGCGAATTCATTGCTGGATAAAAAAAAAAAATCTGTGTGCATAAGTCTTATTCTGAAGAACCTTGGGCCCTGTGCTGGTGGGGACACTGGACAGAGTAGGCCCACAGGTTACTGTGGCTCACTGGCCCAGCGCCCTGGTGGCCCTAGAGCAGTGGGATGGGTTCTACCTTTCCTGACTCTTGGAGGAATTAAGTGTAAGCACCTCCTCTGGTGAGATCCAGTTAAACCCAATCGTCCAGAGGCTCTCTGAGGGGAGGAGCTTCTGCCTGTTGCCTGCCCCCCACCCCCAATCCATGTTCCCAGCACACCTGTGTGCATGTGGCCTGAGCACAGCTTGGCTCCAGGATGAACATTTGCTGTGCACAGGCTTTGTGGAGGGGGCACCTGTGTGAAACTAGAGGTGAAAAGGCCACACTGGCCAGACCTCCAGCTGGGCCAACAGCTACCATGGGCCATACGCCAGTGACTCCTCTGCCTTTCAGCTGCATTTCAGAGGGGCTGGAGCCCTAAGCACAGCTACTGCTTATCAGTACCACTCCTGGGTGCATGGCCAAGCTAGAATATTAGTTCTTGCAAAAGGAATGTAGTAATGGTGACACTGAAGTGTCTCTCTGAGGACAGACGAGCAATCACTAGCAAAGGGGGCTCAACACTGACCTAGATACCCCACCTAGCACAGACTCCAAAGAGAGAGAAGCGCTCCCAGGAAGGATGGATAGCAGGGCCCCTGTGACAAACTGCATTCCAGACAAGTGCTGCTCAGTGCTCAGCAGGAATTAACATGTAACGGAATCATTAGACATTACCACTTCCAGCTTGCTTTTGGGAACCCGGCAAATGCAGTTTGTCCCAAAATTAGTGTCCCGGGTCTGAATGCAGCGCAGGCAACACAAATTCTCATAGCCCTGTTTTTTCCACTTTGCAATCAGGTTCTTGTCCGCATAGCCTTCTTTAATACAGTATTCATAGAGTTCTGCCAAAGAGATGAGCAGAGGGCATCAGATTGCAGCATGACAAACCCACTTCCACCCTCAATTAAAAAGAAAAGTTCCATTCCTTTTTTTTTTTGGTTGGTCATGGGGTTTGAACTTGGGACCTAGGTGCTATCCCTGAGCTTTTCTGCTCAAGGCCACAGTTCCACTTGAGATTTTACTTGAGAATTATCAATTGAAAATCACCGAGTCTTGCAGACATTTCTGCCCACGCTGGTCTTGAACTGAAACTTTCAGATCTCAGTCTCCTGGTTAGCTAGGATTACAGGCATGAGCCACCAGCACCCAGCAGTTTCCCCCATTTTTTTTTTCTTTTTCTTTTTGCCAATCCTGGGGCTTGAACTCAGGGCCTGGGCACTCTACCACTTGAGCCACAGCACCATTTCCAGCCTTTTCTGTTTATGTGGTACTCAGGAATCAAACCTAGGGGCTTCATGCATGCTAGGCAAGTACTCTACCACTAAGCCACATTCCCAGCCCCCAGAGTTTCCCAATTTTTAATGGTAAGACAAATCTCAGTGTTTGCTGGGGTAACAAGGACAAGACTCTACTTCATTTTGGAAGCTGTTCAAGTGTAACAGGCTGAGAAAGTTTAGCCACTCACCTCTGCTTATGGCTTTCCGCTTGTAAAAGAGGTCAAAGATATAGCGGGTTTTTTGGTGGTGGATTCTAAAGATGGGCCAGAGGGATTCCACTTTCCTCTTTCCTTCATGAGGCTCTGTTTCAGCTGTGAAGAGAAAAAGTATAAATGACCGTAGTGTGTTTAGCAGAGTAGATGCAGTCTGCACAGGGGGGTGGGTTTTGTTTAAGACAGAGGATTGTCTCAGATTGAGGACATAGCTCAGTGGTACAGCACTTGTCTACCATATATAAGGCACTGGGTTCTGGGTTTCTTCCCCAGCAATGCAAAAACAAAACACCAGCATCTTACTATATAGTGCACTCTAAGTAAGGATGGCTTCAAAGTCTGGATCCCCTGGCTTCAGTCCCCCAAGTGCTAGGATTACGGATGTAATCCCAGGAAACAATCTGGAAATTCCTCAACAAGTTAAATGTAGAGTCAGCCATTGACCCAGAAATTTCACTTCTAGGTACATACCAAAGAGAACTGAAAATGTGCCCACATACTTGTACGTGAATATTCACAGATGAAAGGGTAGAAAGAACCCAAATGGCCATGAGTAGAGGCATGGATAAACCAAGTGTGGCTTCCCCACACAATGGAATGTTATTCAGCCAGAAAAGGAATGAAGAAGTGATTGACACATGCTACAACACAAAACAAACAGAGTGTATACTAAGCACCTCTTAACTAGACACTTTAAACTTTACAGTATTTGATCTGCGTCTCAATAAAACAGTAAAATAGAGATCTTCAACAATTACATTGAAGTCTTATTACTAAAGAACAATGGGGGGGCTGGGAAGGTGGCTCAGTGGTAGAGCGCTTGCCTTGCATGCATGAGGCTCTGGGTTCGATTCTTCAGCACCACATAAGCAAAAAGAAAAAAGCCGGAAGTGGTGCTGTGGCTCAAGTGGTAGAGCGCTAGCTTTGAGCTGAAGAGCTGAGGGACAGCACCCAGGCCCAGAGTTCAGGCTCCACGACCGGACCCCCCCAAAAAAAAATAATAAAAAAATAATAAAGGACAATGAGGTCTGAAATCAGGGTGCTTATCAACTTCAGGAGAGCAAAGAAATGCTGAGAAGTTATGCTGTTAGAGCAAAATGGCCCAAGGAATATTCTTTACACAAATAAAGAATATCACATACAAGGCAAGATTCCCCAGGGTTAGATCCCTAGTACTGTAAAACACTGCTCCTTTGAAGAGTAAGTTATAATTTTATTTTAGTCTGTCATAGGGCTTGAACTCAGGACCTGAACTCTGTCCCTAAGCTCTTTTATTCAAGGCTATTGCCCTAACATTGTGAGCCACAGCATCACTTCCAGTTTTCTAGTGGTTAATCTGAGATGAATCTCACATATTTCCTGCCTAGTTTGGCTTCAAACACTGACCCTCAGATCTCAGCCTCCTGAGTAACCATGATTACAGCTGTGAGTCAACAGTACCCACCTGGAAGTTTTTTTTTTTTTTTTTTGTCGTCATGGGGCCAGAACTCTGGGCCTGGGCACTGTCCCTCAGCTCTTCAGTTCAAGGCTAGTACTCTACCACTTGAGCCACAGCACCACTTCTGGCTTTTTCTGCTGATGTGGTGCTGAGGAATTCAGGGCCTCGTGCATACAAGGCAAACGCTCTACCACTGAGCCACCTTCCCAGCCCCATAATTTTTTTTTGCCAGTCCTGGGGCTTGAACTCAAGGCCTGGGCACTGTCCCTGAGCTTCTTTTGATCAAAGCTAGTGCTCTGCCACTTGAGCCACAGTGCCTCTTCTGGCTTTTTCTGTGAATCAGACCCAGACAGGGCTTCATGCATGCTAGGCAAGCACTCTACCACTAAGCCACCTTCCCAGCCCTGGAAGTTATAATTTTAAAGGACTCTTTATTCCAGCACTCTCTTGTTTCCTTTATTATGACAAGAGCTGCTTGGAGAAAAAAAAAACCTCTCAACTCACATTAACCTTGATTACTGTAATTTCCTCACCCACAAGTTACCTTCTGTTGTGAAAACAAGAGATAAAGTAGCAGGCCATCTGACTTGTGATTACAGCTAATTACAGTAAGACTTCATAATTACAATGACTAGATTAGCAACAATAACCATTTAAAAATGGACAGAGAAGCACATATCTGTAATCTTAGCTACTCAAGAGGCTGAGATCTGGAGGGTAGCAGTTGGAAACCAGCCCTGGCAGAAAAGTCCTAGAGATTCCATCTCCTGTTAACCAGGAAAAATGCCAGGCTAGAGGTGTGACTTAAGTGGTAGAGCAACAGCCCAAAGCTGAGCTAGAGTGAGAGGCTCTGAATTCAATCCCTAGTACCAGTACACACACACAACTTTAAATAGCAATTCAAGTGCTTCCACCATGATTATAGGTCAACAGATCTTTGTGTTTCTGATAAAATTTCAGAGTCAGTATATACATAGGTTCACAAAGTGCAAGATCACACCCTATGTAGAAAGAAGTAACAGTACAGTCTAGAAGACTAGAGATGCCAAGACTAAGAAATAAAAGAAACAGTGTTAAAGATGCAAAACAGTATCAAAAAAAAAAAAAAAAAATGTTCCATAGAACGTGATTGTGAAAGAGCATTTCCAAGTAACAACACATAATACTAAATATATAAAAAACTGAAGTAGTACATAATTTATAGGTAGGCCATCTGACCTTCGTTCCCTAAAGCTTTAATATTCAAGTTGGTCAAAAAGCTTTTGGAAGTGGCGCTGTGACTCAAGTGGTAAAGCGCTCGCCTTGAGCTAAAGAGCTGAGGGACAGTGCCCAGGCCTAAAGTTCAAACCCCACGACCAAAAAAAAAAAAAAAAAGCTTTTGGAGACTGGCGCCGGTGGCTCACGCCTGTAATCCTAGCTACTCAGGAGGCTGAGATCTGAGGATTGTAGTTCAAAGCCAGCCTGTGCAGGAAAGACTGTGAGATTCCTATCTCCAATAAACCACCAGAAAATCAGAATTGGTGCTGTAGCTCAAGTGGTAGAATACTCGCCTTGAGCTGAAGACCTGAAGAGCTGAGGGACAGAGCTCAGGCCCAGAGTTCAAGCCCCACGAAGCTTTTGGAAGGCCTTTTCAATAATGTTATTTTACTGGCAGCATTTCCAGCACTGTGTGTACCGACAGGTCACTGTTAGTAGACTTGTCTCTTCACTATAATGAGTTTATGCCCCTCCCGGAGGCACCAGTCCTTCTCCAGCCCACCCACACAAGAACATCTCCACTCACCTTCTCTCATCTTCTGATCTAATTCATCCAATGTTGGCTCAATCAACTCCCAGCCATCTGGGGGGGCTTTCCGGCTTCTTTTTACTTTAGGCATTTCCCCCCAACAAGATAATTTTCAAGGATCTGGAGGGGGGAAAAAGCAGTGGATTAGTTTGTGAGCCTCAAGTTACCAAAAACCTTTACCAGTCACTATTTTTGGTACACCTTGACTTTAGGGTTGTAACCACAGGAAGTAGTTCAGCATTCCGGTCAACCTGGGTTTAAACTGAAGCTAGCCAACACAGGAAAAGTCCAAGACTTACTATTTCCCACTAGCCACCAAAAAACCTAAAGTGGAGGTGTGGCTCAAGTGGTAGAACACCAGCCTTAAGGGCTGGGAAGGTGGCTCAATGATAGAGTGCTTGCCTTGCATGCATGAGGCCCTGAGTTCGATTCCTAAGCACCACATAAACAAAAAAAGCTGGAAGTGGTGCTGTGGCTCAAGTGGTAGAGCGCTGGCCTTGAGCTGAAGAGCTCAGGGACAGTGCCCAGGCCCAGAGTTCAGGCCCATGACCAAAAAAAAACACTAGCCTTGAGTAAAAAAACTCAGGGACCCAGGCCCTGAATTGAAGCCTCAGAGAGAGAGAGAGAGAGAGAGAGAGAGAGAGAGAGAGAGAGAGAGAGAGACAGAGAGAGAGAGACAGAGAGAGAGAGACAGAGAGAGAGAGAGTGTGTGTCTCTATGCACACAGCATTTGCCACTAAGAGGTGAAATCTTAGTAAGATTGACAAACAAGATGACAAGCCTGGGGAGAAAGGACATCAATTATGATAGTGTAAAGAGGACTACAACTGAAAGAGCTATAAGGAATTAGAATTTAGAAAAAAAACCGCCACAAAATCATGGTACCTTACAATCTTTCCTGGTCTCTGCAGTAACAGGTTTGGAGTCTTTCCAGCTTTATCAATTATTCTGTGACTTTGGAGAGACTGCGTTCCCTCTTTGGTCCTCAGTCTCACCTGAAAATTGAGGTTTTACATTACCCAAGTGCCAAAGTCTCTTTTAGACCTAACATGAAATCTGGCCAGTCCAAACTTAAATATCAATGTACTTTTAAAACCACAAAGCATTTCCTAACTGGCAAAACAAACTCCTACCATTAAGCACAGCAAACTTATCTTCCTCAAATCCACTCAATCCCTCCCACTGTAAGGTGCTAAGGTGCCAGGTGTTTTACAAAGACCCTTCTCATAAGAACTCTCCCATTACCATTTTTAAAAAGGAAGAAGGAAGCTGGGTGCTGGTGGCTCATGCCTTGCAAACCTAACTACTCAGGAGGCTGAGATCTGAATACCAAGGTTCGAAGCCTGCCTGGACAGGAAAATCCCTAAGACTCTTATTCCCAATCAACCATTAAAAAAAAAAAAAAAAAGCCAGAAACAAAGCTGTGGTTCAAGTGGTGGAGTGCCAGACTTGAGGGAAGAAAAAAAAAAAATCTTAGGGACAGCACCCAGGTCCTGAGTTCAAGCTCTAAAATAGGCACACCCCAAAGAAAAGAAGAAAAGGAAAGAAAGAAAAAGTGGAGGAGGAAGAAGAGGAAAGCAGCAAAAGCAGCAAGGAACTCTACGGGGGGAGCACAGCTGGGATCTGCAAGAGTGGGGCTCAACAGGGACTCCTGACATCCCCAACCAATGGGTCTTTGCAGGAGCCCCTGCTCTGAAGCTAGAGATGGGTGGAATCTGGTCCTTGTCCCAGAGCGTCCCGGGACGACAGCCCCACTTTCCTCAGATCTCCGATCCCCTCGGGGAAGGAAAGGGATCGAGAGGGACGAGGGCGCTACCCAGAACTAGAGGGGTGCTGGGGAGAAGAGGCGAGAGGAAGACAGGGAGGGAGAACTCTGCAGCCATGCCCACGGGAGTCGGCATCGGGACAGAACGGAGGAAAACCAACGGAGTTTACACCGAAGGCGTCCGTCCCAGCACTGAACCGCGGCGGGCGAAGAAACGAGAAGAAGATCCCAAACCTACCCGCCGCCTCAGGGCATCCGAGCCTAGTGGGCCCCGCCGGCTCAGGCCGCACTCCAGGGCCCGCCCACCGCAGCTGGCGCCCCGGGCCGGCGACGGGAACGGAGGAAAACACACTCACCAGAAGCCCGGGCGCCCAAAGCCGTCGCTTTTCTTCTGACAGCTTCCGCTCCTTTTGGGCTCTCTTCAAGAAGCGGCCTTCGCGGGGGGGGGGGGGGTCCCGCCCCTCCTCTCGCGAGATTTGTCGCCTTAGCTGTCCGCAGCGCTGCCTTCTAGAATTCCGTGGTGGCCCTCCGCCCTCACTTCCGGCAGGGTTAGCCGTCAGGGCTACGCGTCTCCCCAGACGGGAACACTGAGCGGGGGAGGGGGGGGGTTGTTGCCTGGCAGCGCCCTGACCGGCCTGAATTCAGGCGACTGGCGGGGGCAGTCCCCGCCTCCGGTGAGGTCCTGATCTTCGCGGCGACAGCGGCGGCGGCGGCGGCGGCGCGCGGTGGGGGTGAGGGGGTAAGGGGGGGGGGGGAGACTGAGCCCGACGGAAGAAGTCGAACCCAAGATATTTCCGGTTCCGGTGTCAGTTCGAGGCGCCGCCGCCGCCGCCGCCGCCGCCGCAGCTGCCGTAGCCGCGATGCCTAAAGGAGGTGAGGTGCGGGCGCGCGTGGCCGCGAGCCCTCCAGCGTGGCCTGGCGTCAGCTCTGGTGGTCCCCTCGGCCCACGGGCGGCGCGGAAGGCGGCGCGGCGGGCAGCGCCGGGCGCCAGCTGCCGGGGCCTCGCGGTCCAATTGTCCTCGTGGGGAGGGGGAAACGGAGGCCCGGGGGGTGATGGGGAGGCTCCAGGTCTGGGGTGTGAGGAGATGGAGAGGCTCCCGAGTTCTCCCCTCGAGGTGCAAAGCCGGTTCCGGGCGCGCCGCTCCGTCCGATCCCGGGTGGGGATGGGGCTGGGCGGGGTGGGGGGGGAATCTGAAGTTTGCTCCCACTTTGAGAATGTCCGGAGACCGAGTCACCGCGCCCCGCGCTGGGCACGGCAGGGCCTGGCCGCCCCGCGGGGCAAGGGCGGGCGCCCGGGGGTGCTCCAGCCATCCAGTCGCATCCTCCCTCCTCCCCCCGTGTCTCCATTTTCTTATTTGCAAACGGGGGGGGGGGGCAGTGATTGTGTCTACTTCATAATACGAGGCGTAAGCGACAGGCCTCCGGTGCCAGGCCCCCAGGAAGCGGTAGCTATTAACTCCTTGTAGGGTTCTGGTAAGATCCATAACGTCCACGGCTTCCTAGTGAACATCGTAACCCGTCTACCTGTCGTCTTCTCGCTTTTTTAAGAGTCCATACCTAGTGTTGGGCTTGAATCCCAGGTATCTTCCCCGTCGAATTCTGTGCCTCGAGCACGTTATTTAGTCTCGTCCAGCTTATTGTCTGCCTCTGAGTGTCTGGGGTGTTAAGTCTTAGCTTGGTGAGTTGGGCAGAGAGGTAATACAATGACAGGACATGGGAGTGCCAGGCTTAGCTCCTGGCACAGAACAGATGTTTAGTTGCTATTAGTGGATTAGGTGTTTTAGGCTTATTAATGCATTCCGGCCTACAGGAACATCTGCCCCGGTCTTTTTGAAACCTCAATTGCTTCCTGACTTTACTACACCCAGAGATACTGACTGGGCTTTACAAAGAAGAATCTCTATATTCAGTGTCATTCTCTGCTGAGTTCTTCTCCATCTGGAAGAGACATGTCAGTTTTCTGGTGCCTTGTCTATAAAAGGCAAGAGGGGTGGTTTTGTTTCCAGCTGTGGGTTGGAGGTTACAATTACAAGAACTAAGTTACAATTACAAGCTAAGGTGGCTTGGTCTTTTGATTTATGCTAAGCTTTTCTGACAGGTAGGGTTGCCTTCCTTGTTTTAAGGTGCTAGAAAAGCCAAGAAAACATGAAGATGTTAAAAGGAAAAAATCCCCCAAGATCAGAGACCAACTCTTTGTTCTCATTGTTCTACAAGTCTTGAAGAACCTCTGATAAAAACCTACTGCACATCAGGCCAAGGCAGTGTCTGGAGTCTTAAGATGAGAGCCTATAGAACCAGTTTAGTTGTTAACAGGTGCCTGGAATATTAAGAAAGGGTGTGAGATTATTTTTTTTTAATGGCAAGTTTGATTTCTGACAATAGGCTTTCCTGAGTACAGACTGAGATACTCCTGGGAATGGAGGTAGTCATTAAAAGTGCGTGGTGTGGGCCATACACTGCCCAATTATAGCTCTGCAGCTGCTGTCTAGGAAATCAGAGGAGGCTGATACCTCTGCTGCTGTCTCTGGAGTCCAGGGCTGCTCTGGCTGGCTAATTACAGATTCTCTTCTCACTGAAGGGCTCTCTGGAAGTCAGGTGGGCTTTAAGCTTGCCAGAGGGGATGCTGCCTTCTGTAAAAGTGTGTCAGATGGCTTTAGTAAGGGTCAGTCTGTTCTTAGAGGCTCAGAATGTAACACTGACACTTTTTGTTGTTGTTGGTCATGGGGCTTGAACTCTGGGCCTGAACGCTGTCCCTCAGCTCTTCAGCTCAAGGCTAGCGCTCTACCATTTGAGCTACAGTGCCACTTCCACTTTTCTGGTAGTTTATTGGAGATCAGAATTTCATGGACTTTGTTGCCCAGGCTGGCTTTGAACCACGATCCTCAGATCTCAGCCTCCTGAGTAGCTAGGATTACAGGCGTGAGCCACTGGCGCCCGGCTAACACTGACACTCTTACATGACCTTTAGTTGGTAGTCACTTTTTCTTTTTTTTTTTTCCTGGGCAGTGCTATAGTTTGAATTCAGGGCCTCACACTTTCTGATCAACTACTCTACCAGTTGAATCATATCCTGCCCTTTTTTGCTTCCGTTACTTATTTGGATAGGCTCCTGGATTTTAGCCAGGAGCTGGTGAGATCATTTCACTTACTGCCTGAGATGCAGGTGAAGTGACAGTTGTAAACCATCCCATCCAGCTTATTGGTTGAGATGGTGGGGAGTGGGGGCAGGGGTGTCCCATCAACTTCTTGCTGATGCTGGCTTTGAATTGAAATATCTCTGAGTTGCTAGTCACGGTAGACTGTATAGTTAGGTTTTATATTGTTTTGCTGGTGGGTCTTGAGGGTTGATTCCTTTAAGTTTTCTTACTCTACACTAAGATGGATGTGAAATATTTTATTCTCATTTGACATTGCTTATGTGGCCAGTGGTATTTGTTACTTTCCCACCAAATTCTCTATTGAAGAAAAAGTGAAAATCTCAGAAAACATTTTTGGAGTGCTTGTCCAGTGCCAGGCACCACCAGCATCCCTATCTATGTTAGCTAATTTATGACCATGGCAGCCCAGGGAAGTAGGGACACAAATGAGGAAACTGAAGCTCTAAGAGATGGAGTGCTTGCCTAGAGTCACAAATGTAGCAAGTGGTAGTGCTGAGCTTTGACTCCCAAAATTTGTCCCTTTCCCTGTTTCATCTTAAGTCCGCTTTGATCTTAAGTCTATCAAGTGAGATTAACACTGGCTCTGGCAGCATCGGTTCCTGAGGATCCGGTGAGCCCGTGCCTGTGGCAGCTTTGCAAGTAATATCCTCTGTCATTGGGGTGGGAGGCAAGTACTCCCAAGTGGAGACCGAAGGGGTCATTCTGGGTCATGTACTGTCCTGTATTTTCATGGGAATTTGCTTCTGCAAAGTTGTTGCACCAGGCAGTGTCCATTGAACACTGGAGGGTAGGTCTGGGTATTGGGTGAGGGTGGGTCAAACGTGCAGCCTTCAGCCCTCTGAGGGGTAGGATGATCAAGGCAGTCGCCTCCCTCTTCCATTCTGAATTGTTACTGTCTGGACAGGGAGAAAGGGAGGCCATAAAGGCCGGGCAAGGCAGTATACAAGCCCAGAAGAGATCGACGCCCAGCTCCAGGCTGAGAAACAGAAGGCCAGGGTGAGTAGGAGCCTGTCCAACCACTCTAGTGGCTCAGGGTGGTGTCTCTAGTTTTTAGTTCCAGGGAGGAGTCCTCACTCTTATGTGAGAACCAGCATGTGGAGTGGGGAGGGACAGCCATCCTGGGGACCGTCCTGTGACTGGGCAAGTAAGGAAGAACTTGGTTCACAGTCCCTCTCCCTGCCTCTGCCCATACACACTCATGCTCCCAGTGTGCCACCTGTCTCTACAGGCACATAGGACTGCTTGCCAGGCTTGCCCTCAGAGTCTCATTTGCTGCTCTGGCTTTGTTCAGTGTCACCTCCTTCAGGACTTCCTGGGGCAGCCCCACCCCTGGTGCTTCTAAACTTGAGAGATAAACTTCTTATCCAGGCTGCCCAAGGTGTCTCCCAGAACAGGGTCTTCTACAGCAGTGTGAGGGACTAGCCTCAGCCCATGGTGCTGCATGGGTCAATTCCCTATCTCTGACTCTAGTGTCCCACGCTGGGGACCAGGCACACAGAGTAGAACCCTTGTCATACTTAGTTCCAGTTTCTAGCACTTAAATGTCAAGGTTATTGTCTGGGGGTGGGTGGGGCGGGGGTCCACAGTGGTGGGGGGTGGGGGGGATGTTTTGCATTCTTAGATTTTGAGTTCTCTTGTCCATTTTTCAAATAGGAAGAAGAGGAACAAGAAGAAGGTGGTGATGGGGCTGCAGGTGACCCCAAAAAGGAGAAGAAATCTCTAGACTCAGATGAGAGTGAGGATGAAGATGATGACTACCAGGTACTGAGTCTGATAGGGGTCTGAGACTTGGACTCAGTTCAGACAACATTTACAGGTCCCGTCCTGATGGGAGATCAGACAGTATGAATTCAGTGTTGTACCCTGATTTTTGTTGTTATTTTGGGCTTTTTTGGTGCTCCTGAAGTTGGAACTCAAGGCCTCACACTTGCTAGACAGTGGCTCCACTGCTGTGAGCCATGACTGCAGACCTTGAGTGATTTTGCCGTGGAATGTTTTACTTGTGATGAGTATTACGGACAAAACACACTATGATGGCAGGGATGAATAATGTGGTGGTGAGGTGATGTAAGCTGAGACACGGAAAGCAGGACGGAGTCAGTCATGGTGAAAATGTTTTGCAGAGAGATTAGCTAGGGCACTGGGAAGGCCCTGTAGTGGAACAGAAATGACCAGATTTTCTTATAAAGGATGTTTGGGCTACCCTAGAGAAGGGATTCTGGGACATTGAGATTGGAAGGAGTGAAATGGCATCCCATGGCGAGGAGAAACTGGCTTGCTGTAGGTGTGGCAGCGCCATAGAGGAGAGCTGTCATACTCAGGCCGTGTTTGCAGTCTGCTGGACAAATTAGGAATCAAGATTGTTCTTGGGATGAACAGGAGCAAGTGCAGGAAGGAGGATCTCAAGTTCATTCTTCTACTTGCCTTGTGCAGTCCAGGGCGTCTGGGTGGAGTTGTGAGTAGGTGGCACACGGAACCCTTAGTCAGATGATCACTATTAAGCTGCATTCTTGGTCACTTGAGAAAAGCTAGGATGGACAGACCAGACTTGCTAAATAACTGGTATTCTCTATATCTTCACACACATAAGCGCATGCGTGCATGCACAGCAAACCTGCAGACTGTGATCCAGTGATCACATTGCTCACAGGTTGCCCTTCGGTCTGCTGAGACAGGGAAGGCTGGGGCTGATCAGGAGAACACTTTACCTTCCTTCCTCTGCATACCTCCCCCTCCCCCCGCCCCCGGGGTCCAGCATGTGCTTCTTGAAGCCAGGCAGGGCTTCAATGGGAACAGTTTCTAGAGACTGTGCTTAAGAGTAGGGGAGCAGAGCTCTCATGTTGAGGCCTCTGCACATCTACTGTCCTCTTTCTGGTTCACCTTGGGCATGTTTTCAACCTTTAGTTGCCAGTGTCACCTCTGAAGTTAGGGTGATAGTCCCCAGTTGCTGGGGCTTGCCAGAGTAAACCTTTTTTACACGCTTGTATTCCCTTCCCCGCCTCCCCCTCCCCAAGCTGGTAAAGTACTCCTGAGTTCTGTGCCCCTGGGAGACTTGCACAAGCGCCCTCTAGGCTGGAGTTAGAGACCTGGGGCTTTGGAGAGATGGTGGGAGTGGCCTTCATGGGCTCTGCCAGTCCTGAACTTCTTGCTCTTGTCTTAGCAAAAGCGCAAAGGCGTGGAAGGGCTCATTGACATCGAGAACCCCAACCGGGTAGCACAGACAACCAAAAAGGTCACACAACTGGATCTGGATGGGCCAAAGGAGCTTTCGAGGAGAGAACGGTAATGTCTGCCAGGCAGGCCTTTTGACCTGAGCACATAGGCAGAGGCTGAGGTGCCTGGTAATTGAGTGGGGGCCACACATCTAATTTCATCTAATTCCCAAAAGCTCTACAGTAACTCCTTGAGAGAGAGAGAAAGCCAGATGCTGGTGATCACTCTTGTAATCCTAGATACTCAGGAGGCCTCAGCCTCCAGAGGGTTGTGGTTTGAATCTAGCGTGGGCAGGGACATGCTGCCCAGCCAGCACATTCCCACTTTCCTTTGGGTGCCATGTGAATGTGGCTGAGATCAAGTTCCCATGTGCTTGGCACATGATCAGTCCTGATAAGACTTCCCTTGACTTTTTTTGAGGGGGGGAGAGGGTGGTGCTGGCGATCGAACCCAGGGCCTTGTATGGCTGATCAGGTGCTCCACCACTGAGCCACACCTCCAGCCCCAGTGACTTGATGGCCACCAGGTAAGAGGCTGAAGGCTTCTTGGCAAAAGGGCCCCGATTCCTCTCCTGCTCAGCCTCCTAGAGCTTCAATCCTCCATCCTCTAGGTCCTGGGTAGCTGAGTTTGAAAACTCCACAGTAAGGGCCATGAGCTCAGGGCATCATTGGAGGCTACAGGACTCCTCCATCCTCACCCTTCCATTAGCTTTCCTGGGAATTGACTGCCAGAAACCCAGCAGCTCTGGCTCCAGTGTCCACCCTGGTTCTGCCACCTTACCCCTGATCAGCCTCAGACAAGTCACTGCCTTTGGGGGTCTCAGTGTCCTCTCCAGTACCCTGAGGATCCTTTGCTTCCTGCTTGACAGAAGCAATACCCTCAAGTCCAACCCCTGCCAGGTACCCAACCGCCGAGGGTCCCTGGCACACGCTGGAGTAGCCTTGCAACTTCTGGGGGCCCAACTTAGACGAGGTGTTAATATCCCCACCTGGTCTACGTGTTTTGGCCTCTGGGTGAGGTGGCCAAGTTTCTTGCCCGTCCCCTCTAGCCAGGCCCTTTGCCTGGGACTTCACAAGCCTCTTAAGAGGTCAGGTCCTGGGGCTGGGAAGGTAGCTCAGTGGTAGAGCGCTTTGCCTTGCATGCATGAGGCCCTGGGTTCAATTCCTCAGTACCACATAAGCAAAAAGAAAAAAGCCTGAAGTGGCTCTGTGGCTCAAGTGGTAGAGCACTAGCCTTGAGCTGAAGAGCTGAGGGACAGCGCCCAGGCCCAGAGTTCAGGCCCCACGACCAGACCCCCTCCCCCCCCCCAAAAAAAAAAAAAAGAGGTCAGGTCCTTCCCCACCTCCTGCTTACTGGGGTGATGACTGGTCCCACGGAGTATAACTGGCCTCGAGAGGCAGTCTTGCACACCTGAGCTGGCGCAAGAACGTCCCGTGTCACGATGACCTCTTCCATCTACAGCCCTCCTTCCCTGCCCCCTGACAATCTGAGGCACCTATTTCTCTGTGGTTTCCAGTGCCTTTATCCCCCTGATCATCGTCCTTGGTTTGGGTCCCCCCGCCTTTTTTTTTTTTTTTTTTTTTAACTGTGGCCACCATACTCTGGTCATGACTCCCTTTGTCACCACCTTGACCTGCAAGCCAGGCTTTGTGCTCATGCCAATTCTCTCTCGGGTGTTTATCATTTGGGCCTGTTTCTTCTGCTTGTTTGGTGGCGTGTGGAGCCAGGGCCCTTCCTGCAGCTAGAGTACATCCTTCCCCCTTTATTCTGGCTTTCATAACCAGCTGAGCTAGTCTTGGTACAAAAGATGTCCTCTGACACCATTTTATCCAAACAGAGAAGAGATCGAGAAGCAGAAAGCAAAAGAACGCTACATGAAAATGCATTTAGCTGGGAAGACAGAGCAGGCGAAGGCTGACCTTGCCCGGCTGGCGATCATCCGGAAGCAGCGGGAGGAGGCAGCGAGGAAGAAGGAAGAAGAGAGGAAAGGTAAGGCCAGTATTGGCTGTGTGGCCTGTCTAGTAGAGGCCAACCCAGTGTTGGGGGTAGACAGGAGCTCTAAGAGAAGCCAGTGGGCTCATGGAATGTGGGTGGACATTCAACAGAACACTGTCCATGACAGTACTTTCGCTGTCACCAGCAGCTAGTGACAAGAGTATCAGTAATACTGGAAGTCCTGCTGAGGCCTCTGGTGCCTAGTGAAGCCAAGCAAGCTGATAGTTACTACTGTGCGCCCAAAGGCTAGACACAAAACCCTGCAGATTCTCTGTGTGCCTCCCCCATGAGTGTGTGTAGGTCAGAGGTTTTACAGAAGCATTTGCTCATGACTGTCCGTGTCCCCGAGGCTGGGGAAGCCCATGGAGGTGAGAGCAGTTCAGGGCACGGTTACCTAGCCTGAGATGCCTTATCACAACTCCCAGTTCCCATCCTGCGAGCCCAGGCAGGAAAGGACCTTGTGCAGCCAGGGGATGTTGCTGCTGACGTAAGACCCTGTGGAGAGGATGGACCCCACAGGGTTTTGCACTGGGGCTTGGAGCTTTTGGTCTTCCTCAGCGGTAACAGCCTGGGCCTATTGGGTCTCTTCCTGTGTGCTGGCTGATGAGCACTGTCCTTGGAAACATAGAGTTCTGTGGTTCACTCTGCTGTGTTCTAACTCCTGCCCTTCCCCTTCCGCTCCTCAGCAAAAGACGATGCGACTTTGTCAGGAAAGCGAATGCAGTCGCTGTCCCTGAATAAGTAAGCTGGCTATGGGAGGAGATGCCAGGGAACCCGGCCGTGCCGTCAGGACCTCTGCAGCATCTCACCCACCCTGTGCCCTGGCGCCGCTGCAGCAGCCCTTCATGGCCGCGAGCCCCCGGCCTGGGGCCTCCTCCATCGTGGCACAGAAATTGCGGGGCTGTGGGGGGAGGGGCAGCTGCTATCTTTGTGACAGAAAGATGCAGGACAGCATTTCATATGTAACCATTTGAATGTTTTTGCTGTTTTTAGAATTCAGAACCCTGGTTGGGGGGTGCTGGGAGGTGGGGTAACAAGAGCTTCCGTTTGTCCAGTAGATTGCACGTCGGGGCAGGGTGCAGGGGGCAGGGCAGCTTCTGTGGATTTGCAGCAGCCAGCCCCAGTCTGTTGCTGGATGCTCACGCAGGGCTGTTGTCCGGAGCCTGCATAATAATCTGGGTCCCTGAGGGTCTTGGTTTGTCCCTGGCCAGTCTCTTCCCGCCAAGGCCCTCTCTGCTCTTCCCCACCCTGTTCCCACCCATCTGGCCAGGGCTAGTGCCCATTTTTACCTACCCATGAATCATTTCAAGAACCTCTGGTTCCTGTGCAGCACCAAGGCAGAACATGTTCCATAAATTCAACTTGTATATTTGGCAGATTAAAGTTGACATTATCGTAACTCACGTTTCAGTTGTCTTGTTGCTGATGCTTGTGCCCCTGCTAAGGTACAGCTTGGCTGGGAAAGCCTGTCAGGTGGCACAAGCATGATGTGGGGCCTAAAAGGGAAATCAAGTGGGGAAAGCTCTGATGTCATGGCTAAGGGCAAGTCCAGCCCAGCACTGTCTGGAGCAGCCAACAGACATTTGTCTTCTGGCCTTCGAGTGCCCCCTAGTGGTAATGGCCTTGTTCTGTGTTAGCCTGCTAATAGCTAGGTTTGCCTGAGTGTGCTTCTGTATGTGTGTGTGTGGGGGGGGGGGGGTGGCGGCCATGAGGCTTAATGCCATTTAGGGCTATCTGTGGACTCAGCTACCTGGAGGAAACTCCACAGCCAGTCCTACCCTCTACTTTTTTTTTTTGGTTTTTGGTTGGTCATGGGGCTTGAACTCTGGGCCTGGGCACTGTCCCTGCACTCTTCAGCTCAAGGGAAGAGTTCTACCACTTGAGCCACAGCACCACTTCCAGTTTTCTATTGGCTTATTGGAGATAAGAGTCCCACGGACTTTCCTGCCTGGGCTGGCTTTGAACCGTGATCCTCAGATCTCAGCCTCTGGAGTAGCTAGGAATACAGGGGTCAGCCACCAGCGCCCAGCTTCCTCTACCTTGTAAAGTGCATGGTCCTCAGAGGCCAGCACACCTGCAGTGGCTGGATGCAGAAGGGAGTGTGGGTGAGAGTATTATGGTTAACTGACAACATGCAAAATTATTTAGTGGTAGATACTGGGGCAGGGGCAGGGAGGGGACGTAATCTGTCTAGATTCCATTTTATTCATCAGGTGGAATTCCACCACTAAGAAGTCCTTATAATTCATTACTTAGATTAAGATTCTTAGGTGAAGAGAGATCCACATCTGTGCTTTAGGGAAAAAAATACCCTCTAGGAACAATGGAAATAGGAAAAGGATCTTAACTGGAAAATCATCGATTTATCAAAGCCCAACTGCCTGCGTCATGTTTGCACTAAAGTCCAAAACCAGCCAAATGTCCACTAAAAATCATGACCTAAAAGATACCTTTTTTGCCAGCTTTGAAAGGTGCTGCCCACCGGGCGCCGGTGGCTCACGCCTGTAATCCTAGCTACTCAGGAGGCTGAGATGTGAGGATCACAGTTCAAAGCCAGCCCGGGCAGAAAAGTCCTTGAGACTTTTTTTTTTTTTTTGGTCCGGTCATAGGGCCTGAACTCTGGGCCTGGGTGCTGTCCCTCAGCTCAAGGCTAGCAGTCCACCACTTGAGCCACAGTGCCACTTCCGGCTTTTTTCTTTTTGCTTATGTGGTGCTGAGGAATCGAACCCAGGGCCTCAGGCATGCAAGGCAAGCGCTCTACCACTGAGCCACCTTCCCAGCCCTCCTTGAGACTCTTATCTCCAGTAAACCACTAGAAAACCGGAAGTAGTGCTGTGGCTCAAGTGGTAGAGCGCTTGCCTTGAGCTGAAGAGCTGGGGGACAGCGCCCAGGCCCAGAGTTCAAGCCCCAAGATGAACAAAGAAAAAAAGGGGGGGGGGCTGCCCAGGCAGGGCTGGGCTGTGGTGGGAGCTGGGACTGTTCACTGGGCTTCAAGCCGGTGGATACCAACCTTCCAGACACAGGCAGACACACCACATTTGTAACATTTATTACCTCCCTTCTGAAGCAGTTCATGACCAGCATTGTGCTTTAGGAGCATTTTTACAATAAATGCAAGCATTTCTTTTTAAAGAAAAAGGTACATGTTCTTTGAATAGGTAAGAAAAGCCCCCACCCCTCCCCTGCGTGGACTCATACTGGTACCTAGAAGCATTCAGCAAAGCCACCCTCAGCCTCCCGTCCCCGGTCCCTTGCCCAGCAGCATGTATGAAGCGAGGACAGCGTTCCTCCCACAGCTCACTTGATCTTCAGGTCCTTCAAGGCTGACTCCAAGCTCTGCAGGGAGGCAGAATGGACAAGCAGACTCAGCTGCCTTGTGCTGACACCCTGCCATGGGCAGTCCCTGCACATCTCAATCCCGGCACATTGAATCCTGACCTAGGGACTTGAAGGTCAAGGGGATGCCATTGTTCCTCTCTCTCCTCCCATCCCAGGACTTTTCTCCTGTAAGGATTCCAGACAGGAGGAGTGGGGGAAATCAACACGGGAGGCCTGGCAGGAAGTGGGGTTCACGGCAGGCCTTACCTTCACATCCCAAATGCTCATGCCACCATCCATGCCTGTAGTGCAGAACTGTGAGCACTTAGCCTTGCCACCACTCAACACCGAGATCTGGCTGTAGAGAGGACAGAGGGTTCAGGAGCTCCCAGACCCCTGGTGGAGCCCACTCTCACGCTGAGCACCAACATGGGGTGTGCCAGCCGGGGGCTGCCTGGAGAGCGCACTTCCCAGCCTGCTTTGGGGAGCAGTGGTGTGGCTGGCAAGGATGGCCATCTGGGCCAGTGTAACATAACTCTGAAGGCTTGGGTGGGGAGGAGGGACACAGAAAGTGCCTCTAGTGCCCCAGGCCAGGGGAAAAAGCTAGGAATGGGCCTATTAGGATGTCTTGGCTGACTGAAGAGCCCCTTCCTCTGCCTCCTGGCCCCGCCCACGCCGGTCTGCGCCCCACCCCCATTGCCCTGGGCGGACAGGCACGCCCTCCCGAAGCCCCGCCCTCTCGCACCTGACGCTGTTCTTGTGCAGCGAGTCGAGGCCCGCGCCGGCGCCCGCGCCGCCCTCGGAGCTCGCCTTCTTGTCCAGGCTCTGGAAGCGCTCGCGGGCCGTCATGCCGCGCTGTGAGCTCTGCTTGGGCACATCCAGCCGCCCTCCGAAGCTCAGCGACCCCGAGGCGCTGTCGTAGGTAAACAGCACCGGGAAGCAATCGTGGCCCTGCAGCAGGATCGAGGTGTCACCTGGGAGATGTCACGGGGCACTGGCCACTCACCACACGGGAAACCAAGGCTAGAGGGGAGGCCACCCTACTGCTGCGGAGGGAACCAGGCCTGCTCGGTCCAGGCCTGGCCGCCAGGGAGATCTCTACCCCAGGCAGGCCTCGCACCCGGCCATGTGCAAGACTGCCCTCTGCCCTCACCCTAGATACTCAGCCCACTGGGGACGCCCCAGGATCCCTGGCCCCTGCCCAGAAGCAAGCAAGCCTCATCCTCCTGGCAGCCCCATACTGAATTGCGGAGGGATGAAAAGGAAGTTGGCATCCACGTGGGCAGGCGGGTGAGCGGGTAGTGGACATGGCTGTCCACTCTCACAAGCCTGTCCTTTAAGGGTCTGCAGATGCTTGTAGCTAAGTAGCCCAAGCTAGCCTCAAACTCACATTCCACCTGCCTCAGCCTCCTGAGTGCTGGGATAGGTATGCACCACCATGCGGGGTCCCGTTGGGAATTTGTTACTGCAGCATCACCCAACCTATTCTACTACACCACATTCATGGAGGCATGGATGGATGAGTGGATACTGAAGGGATAGATGATAGATGGATGATGGATGGATGGATGGATGGCAGATGGACAGGAGGGAAGCAGGGAGAGCAGAATGGATGAGTTGGACTCAGCCTACCGCTGCCACCAGGCTGTTGTCGGTGATGAAGGTGAGGGCCAGCAGCGGGAGCGTCTCCGAGGTAAGGGTGGCAACCCTGAGGGGGAGAGGAGGTCAGCCGCGCCCTGCTGCTCTGGGCCCTGGCTTCCCTAACCCCTACCCCCACCTGCTGGACTCACGCCATCTTCTTTTCCGCATCGGCCAGGCACACAGTGCTGTCGTGGCTCACCCAGGCCACGCGGCTCCCACTGGCTGAGAAGCAGACGCCATGCACCCAGCCGCAGCTGCTGCTGGACTCGAACATCAGCTCCCCGAAGGGCATCTTGGAGCCCCACGGGGTGGGGGCTGGCCTCTCCTCCACCTCCTTGATGTAGGCTGAGAAGATCCTGTGCGAGAGGAGCTCACCTAAGAAGGGCAGCCCTCTTCCAAGGCAGCCGCGGAGCCACCTCAGCATGGTCAGTGCATGGAGTGAAGTCTGGGCCTCAGTGTCCCCTCTGAGTAACGAGCTGGGGGCCCAGTGGTCTCCCAGCTCAGCATCCTCTGACCTCCTGCAAACCCTGGGCCCTAACTTGAGCCAGCCATTCACGCTGCCTCCAGGGGTGTCATGGCCCCTCCTGCGGGCTTCCCCCTCCATCCTCAACACCCCCCACTTTCTCTCACACACCAACCTCTTCCTGATCAGCTGCCCATGCCATCCTCAGTCCCAGGGCCTCTGGGGCTTGCTGATTCCCAAAGGGAACCTTCAGAGTCAAAGGACAGATTTGTGGGGGTAGAGCGGGAAGGTAGCTATCTGCCTGGAGCTAGAGTTGGGGTTCAGTGGCCAAGGAAGATTCATGTCCAGGAATGAAAATATGAATGGAAACTAGACACTTGATAGTCTAGGCTTTAAGGTAATAAAGGGAGCTATGCTTCAGCTTACTAGTCATTTACACTTGAGTATGAATCAGGATACCCATTCACTCTCCTCCAGACAAGCCAGGAAACAGCTGTGGCGAGAGGGTCTACTGAGGCAGGAAGAAGGCTTGGACAGGACCCTGCTGGCGTTCAGAGGTGACATGGGGTGTGCCCTGCTAAGCCCACCTCTGGGCATGTAGCACACATGGGGCGCCCATCCCTGCGCGGCTGCCCACCTTACCTGCACTTAAAGTCACAGGAGCCAGCAGCCAGGAGCACGTTGTTGGGGTGCCAGTCCAGGCTGAGCACGGTGGAGCGGATTGGCTTCTTAATGTGCTTGCACACCCACCTGGGCACACAGGGCGAGAGGGACAGGCACGTGGTCACCATGGGTCTTGGAGCCCTGAGGCACCAGGTGCCCCTGGCTCCCTGCCGCCTCCTGTGGCCCAGTGGCTCCAGTGGCCATGTGCGCTGGTCCCATCTCCGTGCCCTGTCTCCTGTATGTCTCACAGGGCTAGAGGCCACAGTGGGATTTGAACTGAGGTCTCCCAGACTCAAACTGCGCTCCTGCCTGGATCCTGACCTCAGGATATCCAGTCTCACACACCTGACAGGGTTGTGCAGAGTGATGGCTCCTTGTATTCCCAGCTATTTGGGAGGCAGAGACCAGGAGGATCACGAGTGGGGCTGGTCCAGGAAAAAAAAAAAGATAGTCCCCATCTCAACCAATAAGCTAGGCATGGTGGGGCACACCTGTGGTTCCAGCTGCAGGGGCAGCACAGACAGGAGGAGACCCAACCTCAAGATGACCTAAAGCCAAAAGGGCTGGGGGTGTGACTCCAGTGGCAGACGCTTGCCTAGCAAGTGCAAGGCTCTGAGTTCAAGTCCCAGTAGCGCATACACACACACATACACAACCATGTGTGCACGCCAAAAAACAGCGACTGATAGCCCAGAGCTTGGAGCTTGTCCGCGGCGCCCCACAGCCTCCTCGTGCTCCTGTGTAAAGCCAGCAGCCTGAAGGGCTGCAGGGAAGGGGGCACTGGTACCGCCCTGTCCCTGTTACCCAGGGAGCGCAGAGGGATCATCGGGCCCTCTACTGCACGGATGAGGCCCTGAGCCAGAGCTCGCCGGGGGTCCCGGGCCTCTTGTGCGACACTCATTCTTGCCTGTGGGGGGCAGTCCTTCCCACGTCCCTCCGCCCCTCCCACACACTCACCAGTCATTCTCCTGCTCAAAGTAACAGATGGAGATGACGCGAGAGCCACTGCCCACTGCGAACTTGTTCTCCTGGGGCGCCCAGCGCACGCAGCGGGCGGCGCGGTTGATCCGCAGGATGACCAGCGTGGGCTTCCACGTGTGGCCCTTCAGCGTCCACACGTAGGCGTTGCGATCCGTGCCGCAGGTCACAATGCGGTTGCTCTCGGGGGCCCAGTCGATGCCTGGGGGAGGTGCAAGGCTGAAGCCGCGCGCGTGTGCGCGGTGGCACCTGGCCGCGTGGGAGCCGCTTCAAGGTCTCCCCACCTCGCAAAGCGGCTCTGCGGCGAGCACGCCCCCACCCCCCACCCCCCCCCCACCCCCCCCCCCCCCATGCTGCTCCTGGAGCCTACCTGAGAACCTGACAAGCCTCCCGAACTTTCAGATGGGCAATGTGTGGCAATGAGGAGCTGCTGGATCAAGCCTCTCCTGAGGCCCAGACACCCCTGCATAGCCCAAGCCAGGGCTAGAGCAGAGTCTGGTGATGCCTGCCCGTTATTCCCAACTGTTCCACTCTGGAGGCCAGGGAGCGCGCCAGGCCCTGACCCACCTGTCACCTGCCCGTTGTGCTCCTTCAGCTCGTGCGCCTTCGTCCACTTGGCCCCGCTCTTCTCATAGATGTGCACCTCGTGGTTGTTGGGGCAGATGGCGATCTCTGTGGGAGAGAGGACGGGGTTCAGCCCCCCTCCCCACCACGGCCCCCGCTCCTGAATGCCTTCACAGGGCTACGGACTGGGGCCCTCCCCCCAGCTCATGACCTCTGCACCTCTGCTGCTTCTGCCCACTGTCTGGCTCCAAACCCCGCTCATCCCAGGGAGCTGCTTCCTCCTCCTCCTCCTCCTCCCTCCCTCCTCCTCCCCTTTTCCATCCCAAAAAGGTCTTTCTGAGCACCAATTCTAACCTGGTTCTCCTGCCTTGCTTTTCTTTTTTATTAGTCATGGGGCTTGAACTCTGGGCCTGGGCGCTGTCCCTGCGCTCTTCAGCTCAAGGCGAGCGCTCTACCACTTGAGCCGCAGCGCCACTTCCAGTTTTCTAGTGGTTACTTGGAGATCAGAGTCTCATGGAGGACTTCCCTGCCCAGGCTAGCTTCAAACCACAATCCTCAGATCTCAGCCTCCTGAGCAGCTAGGATTACAGGGGTGAGCCACCAGTGCCAGGCGCCCCGCCTTTCTATCTTCCTTCCCTTCCTCCCCACCCCCAGGTAGGTGCACTGCATGAGCTCCTCCTCCTGTCCCTCTCTCCCTTCCTCTTTCACTATTTGGAGACAAGGTCTCACTCTGTAGCCCAGGATGAGCTTGAACTCCCAGTCTTCCTAGTTCTGAGATTACAGGCATGTGTAACTATGCACAGCCGCTACCATTTTTCCCACACCTCCATCTGCTCCCCAAGACTGCATGTTCTCCCTTTGCCTGCCTCCCCCTGGTCCCCTCCATGCAGCACCCCAACAGGGCCCAGTCCCTCCCCACCCGGCTGCCCTGCATGTTCTGGGTATCATGGTCACCCCTCCCAACACAAGGACTGGGGAGGGACTCAGGGAGCCCCACTTCAGAGGCCTGCCTGCCTCTCCCGGCCCTGCCCCCCAGCGGATCCCCACTGCCCAAGGGGCAGCGAGCACTCACGCGTGCGGCCCTTGTTCCAGGCATGGCAGCTGATGGGCTCCACCAGGAAGCTGTGGTACGCCATGGCCGCTCAGCTCCTGCCACGACCAGATAATCCAGGTGAGACGGGGTCCGGGCCTGTGCACCCCACCCCACAAGGGAGGACTCGGGCCCATGGCCTCAGTTTCCCTCCTCTCAGACAGTAGCCGTGTCCGGGAACAAGGCAGCAATGGGAGGGGGGCTGAGCTGAGCTGCTTCCTTTCCACAGCCAGCCGTGGCTACTCAGAGGCTCACAGCCAGAGCCCACTCCACCCAGAATATGGGGCGCAGATGGAGACAACCCCACCAACCATGCAGCACCCAACATGTGGCCCCCAGCAGAGGGTGTGAGGGGAGGAAGGAGGTAGGCGGATGGTCAGACAGACGGTGTCCCTGGAGGAAGGAGGGCATGTGAAAGGAGGTCCCACATCTGGCCCTAGCACCGCTGGTAACCCTCCCACAGAACACATTCTGCCCACCTGCCCAGAGCCCCAGGTCCAGTTTCTGGGGGACCTTCTGGGTGGTGGCAGGGGACCAACCCAAGCCCAGCTCACCTCGGGGTATGGGCCACTGCCCCCTGCCCCTCCCACCTCTTCATGTGGCTATCCATTACCATCCCTCCCTGGAACGCCCGCTGCCCTGAACAGCTTGGAGTCCACAGGCCCCCTGGCCTTTGCACGGGCTCTTCCTGTCCAGCTGGTGTGTCATCAGGGCATTTTGTGTGTGTGTGTGTGTGTGTGTGTGTGTGTGAGCACGCGCACGCTGGCCCTGAGGCTTGAACTCCTGGCCTGCGCGCTATCCCTGAGCTCTTTTTGCTCAAGGCGAGCGCTCTACCGCTTTTGAGTCACAGCACCACTTCTGGTTTTCTAGTGGTTTATTGGAGATAAGAGTTTCATGGACTTTACTGGCTTGGAGACGCAATCCTCAGATCTCAGCCTCCTGAGTAGCTAGGATTACAGGTGTGAGCCACCATTGCCTGAGCATTTTCATTTCATTTTTGCTGGTACCAGAGCTTGAGCTCTGGGCCTCCAATCTCACTCAGCCTTTCCTGCTCAAGGCCGGTGTTCTACCACTTAAAACACACCACAACCCTCAAAGCCATCCTTTTCACACCTGTAATTCGCACCCCTTGCTCTGGTCCAACTCAAGGCAAACACAACCTTCAAACCCACTCCTGCCATTTGCAGATCACCAGGTGGGAGGCAGAGGCCCAAAGCTCTTGCCAGAGGTGTGGCCCCGGCTCCTCTCCTTGTCTGCATTTCCTCACGTGTGCACAATGCAAAGCATGGAGAGGATCAAGTAAGATGATGCACCTAGGCTAGGCCTGATGTGCATGCCTATAATCCCTCCACTGGGGAGGCTGAGGCAGGAGGAACATGGGTTAGAGGAGAGCCTAGCTACATAGTGAGACTGTCTCAAAAAAGCCTCAGCTCTGAGGGTCACCACTGGAAGTTAGCCCAAGAAGAAAAGTCCATGAGACACCCCCACCACCTCCTCAAGTCGTGGGGCCTGGGCGCTGTCCCTCAGCGCTTCAGCTCAAGGCTAGCGCTCTACCACTTGAGCTACTGCACCACTTCTGGTTTTCTGGTGGTTTATTAGAGATAAGAATCTCTTGGACTTTCCTGCCCGGGCTGGCTTTGAACCGAGTTCCTCAGATCTCGGGTCAGTAGCTAGGATTACAAGTGTGAGCAACCAGAGCCTAGCTCCATGTGACCCTTATCTCCAATTAACCAGCAAAAAGCTGTGGCTCAAATGGTAGAGTGCTAGCCTTGAGCAAATAAAGCTCAGACAGTGCCCAGGCCCAGAAGTCAAGGCCCTGGACCTACACAGATTAAAACAGGGAAGGGAGAAGAGGGGAGAAGTAGAGTTGTATCATGTCTGCTAGTGACAGCTCTGGTCCACGGGGTGGTGATGGCACCCAGCCTCAGTTTACCCATTGTGAATTATCCTCCCTGGCCAGGTCAGAGGGGCACAGAACCCGCTGTGTCAGGCCCCTAAACTGGCTGCTTCAGCCCACACAGCCGCCCCCAGACACAGGGCTCTGAATGGCACCCCCTACTTCCTGCTTACCACCTGCTTCTCTATGTGGCAGAATGTTCTAGAAAGTCCTCAGGGCCGCATGGGACAGACACAGTGTGTGCACACACCTTTGAAGGTGTGAGATGCACACGTGTTTCCTGCACATTTAGAATGGCATCTTTACTTGCCCTTTGCTGAGGGGACGTGTGCAGATGTGTGCGCACACAGCTCAGGCCTCAGGGGCGATCAGTGTGGCACACGCGCGCATGCACACATAACCAACCACTGCAGCCACTGGGTCTCACCTTAAGCGTGACAGCCTTCACAACCTCCTCCGCCCCTTCCCCGTGAAGGCCTCTGGGTAAGGGATAGACAGGTCTGCAGGCCCCACCAGGCTTTTCCTGAGGGCTTCTGGGGCCAGAGGCCCAGCTCCAGAAAGGAAGCTCCAGGCTAGTCTGCCAAGCTGTTCCTCCAGCGCAGGCCACTGTGCAGGAGGCCAGAAGCCCACCTCCAAACTCCAGCAGCAGGGTGCCAGGCACATGGCTGCCCTGGCTGTAGAGAAAGAGCTGTTGCCCCCATTCACAGCCCCTATGCCCTGGAGGAGGCCGAGCGTGTGCAGGGGGAGGTGAACAAGCTAGTAAACATAGCCGTAGGCAGGGCGTGAGGGCAGAATGAGTTCAGATCACTTCTATCAGCCAGTCACACTTTAGTATGAATTCAGACAGCTCCCCAGAACCTTACAAAGTGCAGGGGAAGGGGCAGGGGAGGCAGAAGAGGGGAAGACTCATTTCCCCTTTATTCCCTTGTCATCCCCCTCACCCCCAGTACAAACAGCAAGACTCCAGCAGATTGGCCTACCAAAGAAGGAAGTGGGAGCCCCGAAAGGGGTAGGCCTCAGGGCTCACATCATGTGGTTATATCCAGGAAGCAGCTTTCTGAGCCTCAGCCCCAGCCCGGGCTTTATCTAAACCTCCAGCCTACCAAGTAGGCTGCACACCCACCCCAGGCTCCTGGGGGAGGGAAAGGCTGCCCGGGCGGGGCTCCCATTCAGGCCCATGGGTATCTTATTTTATAGTGCTGGGGATGGAACCCATGGCCTCCCACAATGCTAGGCAAGCGCCCCACCCCTGGCCTTCCATCTGTATTCCTTCCTCACACACTAGAAATGTCCTGTATTGCCAGGAATGGTAGTACATACCTAAAATCCCAGCTATTTGGAAAGAGAAAATAGGTGGATCAACGCCCAACGCCAGCCAGGGTAAAAATGCACGAGACCCTATCTGAAAAAAAAATTTTTTTTAAAAAGCAAAAAGAGGCCAGGCACCAGTGATCCGCACCTGCCATCCTAGCTACTCAAGAGGCTGAGATCTGAGGAGCAAAGTTTGAAGCCAGCCTGGGTAGTTAAGTCCATGAGACAAATATCTCCAATTAACCATTAAAAAGAAAAAGAAAGAAAAGATAAATTCAAGAGGGGGATGGGAGTACATGCTCCAAATGGAGTCAGTAATCAGGAGAGGCTTGGAGCCGCCTCCGGCCTCCAGTCGGGGTGCACAGCCCCCTGCAAGCCAGCCTGACACAGCGGCAGGCTGTGGGTCTTGGGTCTCAGGGCTCCTTGCAACAGGGCTGAGTATCCTCAGCCCACAATCCCCTGGTGTATCCTGGAGTCCCAGGTATCACTCAGCTTCCCGGAGTGTAGGATCTCAGGCAAAAGCCGGCAGGCGTTGCCTGCAGCAAGGTCTTGGCTCTAGGAGCTCCCCAGGAAGTCCACGCCCAGCTCTGGCTGCCAGCAAGTCACCCAGCGCGGGGCTAGGCGTTACTCAACTTCCTGTTGTGCGCTGGAGCAGGGGGCCCGGGAACAGCCTGGGGGGGGGGGAGGGATAGGCTCGAACACCAAGCTCAGATTCAGCCCCAGTAGTCTTCCTAGCCAGGCCAGGTCAATCCGAAAACAGACACACCAATCACCAGAAGGCATGCAACAGCAGCCCACAGAGTCCCAACAAACCCCCCACACAGGAAACTCAGTGCCAGCAGGATGGTGGGAAAATCCACACAGCTGCCAACTCGAACTCTCCACAACTGTGGAAGGTCACTGAGAAAGGGAGACCCGAAGGAGAAGGGAGGGAGAAAGGAGAGAGAAAAGGGGGCTGGATATGACCAAGTACCCATAAGTGTGTGTGTGTGTAAATATATATAGATATATATACACACACCAGATATGATATGCATATATACATATATGTACACACCATACAGGATATATACATGTACATGTCATATGACATATATACACTACATAGGAGATGGATAAGATAAACAGATTCCACTAAAATCTGTTAAAATGGGGGCATAAGGACATTATATGCCACTATGGAAGTATCACCATGCCCTTCTGTATAATTTATGCTAACAAAAATTAGAAAAGCCAGACATCTGAGGATCAAGGTTTGAGGCCAGTCCAGGAAGGAAAGTCCATGAGACTCTTATCTCCAAATAGGCACCAAAAAAGCCACAAGTGGAGTGAGCAGTGGCTCAAATCATTAGAGCCTAGACAGCCTTAAGGAATAAAGCTCAGGGACAGCAATCAGCCTCTGAGTTCAAGCCCAGGTCCTGAACCAAAAAAAGAAAAAAGAAAAGAAAAAGAAGCCAGGCTCTGGCGGTTCAAGCCTAAAATCCTAGTCAGGAGGCCGACATCTGAGAATCACAGTTTAATCAGCCCAGACAGGAGAGTCCCTGAGACTCTTTCTCAAGCGGAAGTAGAGTTGTGGCTCAAGTGGTAGGCAGAGCACTGCTAGCTCAGGGAAAACACCTAGACCCTGGAGTTCAAGCCTCAAGACTGACAAAAGAGAGAGACAGAGAGGAAAGAAAGAAAGAGAGAGGGAGGGAAGGAGGAAAGGAAGGAGGGAGGGAAGAGAAAATAGGTTTCACATTAAAACTGTGTGAGAGCACAGGACAGAGTTCACATTTTGTTATTTTTAAATTGCTGGCAATCTTAGGTCCATGTATAGCCTTTGTAGGGCTAAGGAATCCACCACCAATATGTTTTTGAAATTATGTTAATGTTCACAAAAGCCATTGTTTGTACAATAGTGACAAGTTAGAACTTAGGTTAGACCCTCTCAAACATGTAGCGTTTACTGCACTGAGTTTAGGGGGCTCAGCATAGGGCCCCGTTAGCAGAATGCATGCCCAAGCATGCACAGGGCCCTGGGCAAGGAAAAAAAAAGAGGAACAAATATGAAATTTCGTCCAGTGCTGTGGTTCATCCCTGTAAGCCTAGCTACTTAAGAGGCTGAGATCTGGAGAATCTCGGTTCCCAGGCCAAGTCCCAGAGGCTATCACCACTTCACCACCCAAAAGGAGGGCTGGAGACGTGGCTCAAGAAAAACGACCCACTGCCGGATGATGCAGAGAAGATGGAGCTACTTCCCCGGCCGGGGTTAAGCTAGAACTTTCTCTCGCACACTTCTCACTTTTGGGGCCCTGAAGCGATCCTGAGACGTCTGTTTCCTTGGGTTCTTCCCCCCCCCCTCTTTTGTAGCCGACCACAGTCAAGAATCCCTCCAAGTCACACAGTCCTCAGGGACGGGGGACCCCGAATCACACCAGGTCTCCTGGGGTCACCCCGGGGGTCCACCTCCGTGTCCTGCACACCGACCCCATTTTCCAGGTGAGGAAGTGGGGACCCCCGGCCCGGGTGGAGGATCGCGGGGGAAGGGGGAGGTACGGGCCCGCCCGGGGCGCCGCCCGCCTCCACCCCGACCCCCGGGCCCCCGGCCGGACCCCGGGCCCCGCGCGCGGCCGAGCGGGCCGGGGCGCCAGCTCACTTCCCGGCCGCAGCCGCCCGAAGGCGGGAGCGCGGCGGGGAAGCGGCTGGGCGTGGGGCCCTGCGCCCCGGAGTAACGGGGTGACGCGGGAGGGTGGGTCCGGGCTCGGGGCGGGGGGGACGGGGGGGGGGACGTGCTGCGCCCCGGCGCCCCGAGGGCTTCGGACGCGCGGGGCAGGGGGGGCGCCCCGCTTCTGCCCTCCGCAGCCCACGCCGCACTTCGCTCTCTTCCGCGTCCCCTCGCCGTCGGGCAGCGTCTCCCACCCAGAGCCCCCCACGTAAGGCGACCCCGACCCCCCCCCACCCCGGGCCCAGCGCCCCCTCACCTCGGGGCGCTCCGGCCGCGGACTCTGGACAGTCGACGCGCCGACCCGGCTCTGGCCCCGCAGCGCTTCCTCGTGGGCGGAGGGCGGGGCCTCGCGGGGCGGGGCGGCGGGGCGGGGCCATGGGGAGACGGGGCGGGGCCACGAGGAGAGGGGCGGGGCTGCATGCCACGCCTACCCCGCGGGTATGGGGATCCGCCCTGGACGTCAGACCCTCCCCCCCCTTCCGCAGTCGCCCCTTCCTGCTTTCTGGGTGGGGAAACAGGTTGCAAGAGAGGTGCGCAGCCTGAGCGCCCGGGGCGGGTGGCCATAGGACCCAACCATTTCGCGACCCCTATCGCCCAGTCCCAAGCCGCGTCCCATCCCACGGGGGTTCCCCGCCCTCCCCGCCATCGGTGTACCAAGGGCGTCGGCCTTGGCGGGGGCCGGGGAACAGGGCGGGGGGAGCCCCTGATGGCGAGCACAGGGCCTCCTCTGGGGACTTCCTGTCCCTGTACATTCTCCCTCTCCCCTCCGCCTTCCCCCCCCCCCCCCACCTCCCCATTTCTAGTCCCACTCGGCCTGCTTCTCCTGGGCTGCCTCGAGGCCACACGCTTTACACCCTTGCCATTCAGGTTCCCCTCGGATGGAGGCCCTGGGTCCGGGAAATCTCAGAGCTCTAGGGGGTATTTTTATTTTTGTGCGTCCGTCCTGCATTTTGAACCCAAGTCCTGCACACTGTCCCTTAGCATTATGCTCAAGGCTACTTCTCTACCACCGAGGCCACCGCTCCACTTCCAGGTGCTTAGATGGAGAATAATCTTACGGACATTCCTGCCTGGGCTGCCTTTGAACTGCCATTATCTGCTTTTAGCCTCGTGAGTAGCTAAGATTTCAGGCGTGGGCCATCGGTGCCTGGCCCACCTAGTCTTCTTTTGCCAACTTGGATTTGCCCTGCATGAGAAGGCTGAGGACCTATGAGGTCACTTTGGCCCTGTCACTGCCCTTCCACCAAGGCAATGCCTGCTAAACTCCCAATAGCCATCTTCACCAACTTGAGACTCTACTCGGAGTCCCTGTGCTCTGCCCGGGAGAATTCTGCATCAGAAATTTCAGCTCAGATTTATTTAGTTCTGAGAACACCGGGAGGGGCTCCAATCCAGTTCCCCTTCCCCGCAGCCTGCTGCTCCTGCATATTTGTTTACATAGTCTTGGCAAAGCCACACGTAATTGCTTTTAGCTTAGAGAAGTTTCCAGCTTTTTGTAGCAGCAGCTTCCTTCCCATGGGAGAAGGGAGGCAGGGAGCTTGTGTGTTCTAAGTGTATCAGCTCCAGCTATCTTCTGTCCCAGGCTGTGACCTAAGCTGACCCAAAGCTTTGGATCTTGACCAAAGCTGAGCCATGTCCATAACTCTGGGGTTGGCGATCCAGGCCAAGAAACCCCTTTCTGAACATGAAAGTGCCCCCAGCCCAGGGAAAACAATGCCCCCAACACAGTGCAAAGAACCCTAGAGAAAAAAACTTCCTGTGTCCACTCAGCCTCCAAAGGATTCAAATAGGTGAGCCAAGACACCTGCTGAATCTTCCTTTCTTTCCTTCTTTCTTTTCTGTTTTGATTTTTGAGACAGGGATGGTTCACTATTGTACTTCAGGCTGCCCTTCAACTTTTGATCTTCCTGCCTCAGCCTCCTAAGTGCTGGGATTACAAATCTGCTTTGCCACACCCAGCCAATGTGATATAATATTGTATATATATATGTATATATAAATATATAATTTGCCTGCGGGGCAGGTGGGAGTATTAGGGCTTGAACTCAGAGTCTTGTACTTGCTTAGGTAGGTACTCCACTTAAGCCATGTCTCCAAGTCCTTTTTACTTTCGTTATTTTTTTCCATAGGGTCTCTTCCTTTTGCCTGTGCTGGCCTCGGACCATTATCTTCCTTCCTCCACCCCTCTGCTTTCATATAGCTGGGATTATAATGGACTACTTGCCTGGACTGGCTTCAAGTTGGTTTGTGCTGCTCTTCTGCTATCCATTACCAGAAGCATCCCAAGGACTAGGTAGGCCTGAGGACGTTTCTCTGAGGCTGGCTGAGGTGAAGAAAGACTCAGAGTTGACACAGGAAGCAGCAGCTAGGTTTGCATAACCCACTGTGCCCCTTGAGGGGGATATCCTCAGCATGATCACATGTGGCCCACAGCAGAATGAAATTCCAGTTGGGCCACTTTCAGCAGTGGTAGTACCTCAGGCCCCCCGCCCCCTCCCATGACGGCAGAGGGCCTTACAAACCTGCACTAAGGTCCTGTGAAGCAATGGGAGGTGTTATTTGAAATGGCCTGGTCTAGTCTTAGTGAGGCAGGGAGGAGCAGGAGAGCTGAGGATGGAGGAATCTCATCTGGAGTGTGGAGAGGGCTTGGGCAGCTTCCTGGCATCTGAGTGTCCAGGGATGAAGATGCTCAGCTTTTTTTTTTCTTTTAAATCCAGTCTGAGGTTTCCAAGTAATGCTGTTAACTTCTTCAGAAACAGGCAGGCAGACTGAGGTTCTTGCTCGTTCCCCACTCCCCCCTCCTCCTCCTCCTCCCAGCTGATTGCAGGCAGGAACCCCTTTCCCAAGTGCCCCTGAATAATCTCGTTTTGCTGGGCATGTGTACCCCCAAATAGGGATGATGAGCCCCTCTTGCTGAGACCAAGGGCCCCATCACCACCTGGGTCACCGCAAGCAGGAAGCAGAAGGGAAAGTTTTGTGCCCCGCCCAACGCCTGAAGGCCCCTGGAAGGAGACAAAGTCCTGGGGCAGAGGTCTGTCTCCACCCATAACACAGGCTGGGCATTACATACTTGGGATAGTCTGGTAACCGGAACCCCTCACCCACTTACAGCCTTCTCAGAAGCCTGATTCCCAGCACTCACTCACTCACTCATGGACTTCTCAGTCAAACAGATGGCTGAGAAACTCAGGTCTTCAGAGAAACCCCTCAAAGTGCTGTCAAGGAGGGCCCATCATTTCCAGTCACTTGGGAGTGAGGGCGCGGGAAAGAGGACCTGGGCTGTTAGCCTGGCATCTCTACTTCCATCCACTGGGGTCTGGAGACACTGGACCTTCATTGTCTCTGGACTTGACTGTTAGTCATCTATAAAATGTGGCAATCACAGTTCAACTCTACCAGGTGAGTTGGTACATGTCTATCATTCCAGCCCTCGGGAGGCTGAGATCTGGAGGATCATGATGATTCAAAGCTAGCCTAGGCAGAAGAGTTCAAGAGACTCTTATCTGCAAATAATAAGCAAAATGAGAGAAAAGGTGGGAGGCATGGCTTAAGTGGTAGAATACCAGGCAAGCAAGTAAAGCTGAACGAGCACTGGGCCCTGAGTTCAAGCCTAGTACTGGGAAACAAACAAAACCCAGGTTATCCCTATAGGGTTGCTGTGGGTAGTTACAGCTTACCTTGGTAGGCTGACACATTGCATTGTTTTTCTAGTAGCTATGGTATTGAAGGTGTAGCTTACTCACCCTTCCTTAAGGACTTGTTCTCAACCCTGACTTACCATTGGTGGCTTTTTTTTGTTGGTTGTGGGGCTTGAACTCTGGCCTGGGCATTGTCCCTGAGCTCTTCAGCTCAAGGCTAGCACTCTACTACTTGAGCCACCGTGCCACTTCCATTGGTGGTTTTTAAACCTTTGAAACATCACAAGCCCTATTAAGATGATGCCCATGGGTCACTTAATGATGGGGGTACACTCTACCACTAAGCCACATTCCCAGCCGTCTGTATGTATTTTCTACTTCCTAGAACTGTCAGCCTGGCACAGTCAAACTTTAAGATGGAAAGACTAGTTTTAAAAAAAAAAAAAAAGAGGATGAAGCTGGGCTCCGGTGGCCCACTCCTGTAATCCTAGCTACTCAGGAGGCTGAAATCTGAGGATCCCAGTTCAAAGCCAGGCTGGGCAGGAAAGTCCCCGAGACTCATCTCCAATAAACCACTCATCTCCAATAAACCACCAGAAAATCGGAAGTGGCGCTGTGGCTCAAGTGGTAGAGCACTAGCCTTGAGCTGAAGAGCCAAGAGACAGCAAGCATCCAAGCCCAGAGTTTAAGACTTTCGACTGACAAAAAAAAAAAAAAAAAAAAAGGGAGAATGGCTGGGAATGTGGCTTAGTGGTAGAGTGCTTGCCTAGCATACATGAAGCCCTGGGTTGCATTCCTCAGTAGCACATACACAGAAAAAGCTGGAAGTAGTGCTGTGGCTCAAGTGGTAGAGTGCTAGCCTGGAGCAAAAGCAGCTCAGGGATAGTAAGGGAGGGAGAGGAAATAGGCAGGGCCCTCCTCACCAGAGCAATGGAGTGTAAGGGAGGACCCTCAGCTTGGGCACAATAATCTAAGACAAGATGATGTTTCTTCCCTCTTGCCGTCCTACTGTGGGCCCTGGGCTGGCGTCCTCCAGGGCTGGCTCTGGGCGCAGTGTTGAGGGAGCGCTGGGATCAATGCGTCCCACAATCAACAGTCCCACAGGACAGTGCAACCTCGAAACTGGACTCTTAAGATCCCACCCTCAAAATGAACTAATGAGGAACTGACCCACATTTGTTCTGAGGAAAACGGCAGCGTATAAGAAAACAAAACCAAAAGCACATTCAGGATGTTTATTTCATTTTCTAGCAGACAACGAACATACTTCCTCCTCTTTTCTTTAAGTTAGTGTGACGTTTCCATAATAAACTAAAAGAAGCTTTGGTCAAGAATGGAATGAAATAGCAAACACGAAACAAGATGAAAAACTCACTGCTGCCATTAAAAACCACCACATCCACCACGGCTGTGCTCACACACGCACACACAGACACAGACACACGCACACACAGACACGCACACGGGGCTGCGTGCTCCGTGCTCCTGGGCGGCCGTCCTCACCCTCATGCGCGCGGCGGGCGGCGGGCCGGGTCACCGCGGGTCCTCTTGCGGCTGGCAGAGGCGCCCTCACTTCACATTATCCGGAGGCCCTGGATGGAGGCCTCCAAGGTCTTGAGAAAGGTGGAAGACAGACACTCACTGATCATTTGCAGGACTATGCACTGGCTTCCCACCGTGCTCCAGTCCCACTCCCTCCCCAGGACCAGGCCCCGCCCCCAGAGCTGTGCACAGCCCGCACCCTCAGCCACAGCGGGCTGAAGCTGTGCTATGCCATACATGGTGGAGTTGCCATTCACTGTCCCAGCCCTGCTCTGTCCCTCCTAGGGGTCCACTGCACAATCCCCAAGCGGACAGCGTGGTTTCCCTGCAGGTGCGTCACTGAGTCCTCACCCCCTCTCCTGGCTGGGTGCGCACACACTTTACCCATGCCCTCAGCGCTCTCTCTCTTTCTGGTCCCCACAGCTCTCCTCTCCAGCTCCATCTTGGGTTCCAAGATTCCCAGAGGGCCATAGCACGGTGATGATGAGACATGGCTGGGGTGTGGGGCAGGACCATGCGTCCTGTCCTCTCTCAACTCACCACCCCGGCCCTACCCCATGTGTGACACACCTGCCCCGCTCTGTCAAGGACCCCTTCACCTCCAGATGCCGATCACTAGCATGGTGCCCGACACCTGGCAGACTTTTAGTGTTAATTATATTAATCACCGTAGAGTACAGCTGGGCACCAAAATGCAGGCTGGTGGCCAGGGCAGGGCCTGCTTTGCCAGCAGCACTCAGGATCTTGTCAGTGTCAGAAAGTATTTCTCACCCCACGGACAGTGGGGGTTCCCTCTGGTAAAGATGGTCAGAGTTTTTTTTGTTGTTGGCCATGGGACTTGAACTCGGGGCCTGGACGCTGTTCCTGAGCTCTTTTCACTCAGGGCAAGTTACCACCTTGAGCCACAGTGCTACTTCCAGTTTTCTGGTGGTTCATTGGGGATAAGAGTCTCATGGACTTTCCTGCCTGGGCTGGCTTTGAACCATAATCCTCAGCTCTCATCCTCCTGAGCGGCTGGGATTATAGGTGTGAGCCACCAGTGCCTGGCCTGCTCAGGTTTTAAAGCAGTCACACTGTAGCAGTTTGGTCTTCTGTGGATACAGAGCTCACCACTTCACAAAATGAGGAATATTTGTCTGGGGAACAGTTGCTACACAAAGGAGATATGTTTACCTTGAAATCCCAAATGGTCATGGCTCCATCGATACCAGTAGTGCAGAATTTGCGACAATCTTGTTTGTCGACCTCATAGATAGACACTTGGCTGGAAAAAAGCAATAAGAGATGGTGTAGTGCATGGTGGACACGAGCCCCATGTTCAGTGTACATGCCCTTTAAGGAGATGATCCGTTTTCCTTTCATTAATTTCTCTATTATCATTTATTTTTTTGAAGATAAACTCTTGCTACTTTGTAGCCCCGGCTGGCCTCAATGATCTTCCTGCCTCAGCCTTCCAAGCGCTGGTATTACAGGCAGGCGCCACCATGCTTGACTTATGACCAGTCTTTCACCCTCTAAATGGTAACATGTCCAGCAATGTTAGGCCACAGTGATCTAACTCATAAGATACCCCAAAGCATTTCACTGCCAGGTATGTAGGAAAGACAAAACTGAATCCTCAAGGGGAACGTAGTGGAGTATGAAGCAGTGTGGCTTGAAGAAGCCCCTCAGGGATGACGGAGCCACCCTGTAGGCAAATAAAGAGCACTTCGTGGGATTGAGACGTGGCTCAGAGACAGAACACCTGGCTGGCAAGGGCAAAGCTCTGAGTTCAAACCCAAGAAGTGCCATAAAAGAAAATGAAAAAAAAAAAAAAAAAGCAAGCCAACAGCAAAGACAGACACAGGAAGAATTTTCTTCCATGATTACATGTTAAGTGAAATCCAACTGGCTCCAGACAAAACTCTGAAACCACCCTATAGGGCAGCCCGAGCCCCCAAAGGCCCCAGACTCAGCACTAGGCCCCACCCCTAGGGCTAAGCAGCTAAGAGACATTGTGTGGGAAGCTCTAAGAAAGCCAGCCCTACAACTGAGACAGTTCCTTCTTTCTTTCTCCTCTGAGCCGCAGGGTAGGGCCAGTGAACGAGGCACACATGGCCACTGTGTCCGGCCCGAGAGCAGACAATGGCCTTCACATTTTTAAATGACTGGGAAAAAAATGGAAAAGACCATTATCTCATGATGTGAAAATCCTATGAAACTCACACTTCAGTGTGGAGCATTCTGCCGGGCCCAGCCAGCACACCATGCTTTTCTGAACTATTTTCATGCCTCAATGCAGAGCAGAAAACTACCACAGGAGCGCAGCTACCTAACAGAAAAAAGGTGCCAACACTGCACTAGCAAAGATCTCTCTTTTTTTGTTTGTTTGTACTTAATTTTTTTTTAATTTGTTTGAGACAGGGTCTTCTATGTAGCCCAAGCTGCCTTCAAACTTGCTATCCTCATGTCTCTAAGCCTCCAGAGGCTGGGACTACAGGTTTATGCTACCATACCTGGCTTAAGATTTCTAATTCCTATGAACAAAAGTAGACTATCCAGTATGCAAGAGTTTCTTTTACTTTTCACCAAAAAGTGTCAGAGAGGAGATGAGAACTGCTTCCCTCAAGTTAGCACAGAAAAAGTAAGAAATTCACTAGTGAATTAACTGGTTCCAGAGAGAAATCTCAACAGTGTGTTTTTTTTTGTGTTTTTTTTTGGGGGGTCCGGTCGTGGGGCCTGAACTCTGGGCCTGGGTGCTGTCCCTTGAGCTGAAGAGTTCTTCAGCTCAAGGCTAGAACTCTACCACTTGAGCCACAGCGCCACTTTCAGCTTTTTTTCTTTTTGTTTATGTGGTGCTGAGGAATCAAACCCAGGGCCTCATGCATGCAAGGCAAGCGCTCTACCACTGAGCCACCTTCCCAGCCCGAACAGTGTGGTTTTTTTCGGTCAGTCATGGGGCTTGGACTCTGGGCCTAGTCGCTGTCCCTCAGCTGTTCGGCGCAAGGCTAGTGCTCTACCACTTGAGCCACAGCACCACTTCCAGCTTATTCTGTTTAAGTGGTGCTAAGGAATTGAACCCAGGGCCTCATGCATGTGACGTAAGCACTCTACCACAGAGCCACCTTCCCAGACCAACAATATGGTTTTACTTAAGCTCAGTTTGTACTTTTCAACACAGCTGTATATATTTTTTTAACTTTTTAATTTTTTTGTTGTTCGTGGGGCATGAACTCTGGGCCTGGACACTGTCCCTGAGCTCTTCAGCTCAAGGCAAGCACTCTACCACTTAAACCACAGCACCACTTCTGGTTTTCTGGTAATTAACTGGTGATAAGAGTCTCATGGACTTTTCTGCCAAGGCTGGCTTTGAACCGCAATCCTCAGATCTCAGCCTCCTGAGTAGCTAGGATTACAGGTATGAGCCACCAGCACCCAGCTTCTCAGCCTCCTTTAAATCCTGCTGAACATGAAGCACAACTTACATTTAATAATTACATTTCTAAGTCTGGTGCTAGTGGCTCACACCTATAATCCTAGTTATTCAGGAGACTGAGCTGAGGATCGCTGCTCAAAGCCAGTCCAGGCAGGAAAATCCAAGACTCTTATCTGCAATTAACTACCAGAAAACCAGAAGTGGCACTGTGGCTCAAAGTGACAAGAGTGCTAGCCTTGAGCAAAAGAGCTCAGGGACCATGCCCAGGCCCTGACTGAGTTCAAGCCCCGTGATTAACAACAACAACAAAAAGCACCTTTCTAGAAAAAGCCAGAAGTTTCCTTTATTCTTCCTGCCAATACCACCATAATAAAAGTCTCTTGATATTAAAGGCCTAGTTATGCCAGGTGCCAGTGGCTCATGCCTGTAATCCTAGCTACTCAGGGGGCTGAGATCTGTCTCTGGAAGGGCTTGTGACTCCAGGCCTGTGACACAGGATGTAGGTCACTCAGGAAGGTCTCCTCCCATGCTCAACCCACTTGGTGAGGATCAGGCCCCATGCCCCTCCTGCTGGACATGCGGCACCATTATGATGATAGTAGGACTGGGTGGCGGTGGTTCCCTCTGGCATGAGGTGTAAATCAGAACTCGGAAGTCAGGAAGGGCCTAGAGCCATCACTGCTGTGTTTCTTGCAGGGTGTTGAGGGAAGGACAGGGAAGGCCACACATAGTTCACTTGATCACTTGGGTGGGTTGTGTGTGTGTGTGTGCGTGTGTGTGTGTGTGTGTGTGTGTGTGTGCGCACGCATGCCAGTTCTGGGGCTTGAACTTGGGGCCTAGGCACCGTCCTGGAGCTTTTGTGTTCAAGGCTGGCACTCTGCCACTTGAGCCATAGTTCCATTTCTGGCTTTTTGGTGGCTCACTGGAGATGAGTCTCACGGACTTTCCTGCCTGGGTTGGCTTTGAATAGTGATCCTCAGATCTCAGCTTTCTCAGTAGCTAGCATGACAGGCGTGACCACTTGTCTTATGACCCAGGAGCCAGGCAGGCGGTACCTACGTGATGCTGTTCTGGTGCAGTGTCTCCAGGGCAGCGTGGCGGTCCTCAGTGGTGGCCCTCTTGTCCATGTTGCGGAAGCGCTCCATGGCTGACATGTTGCGCTGGATGCTCTGTTTGGGGATGTCCAGCTTGGAGACGAAAGTCAGGCAGCCACGGTCGTCGTAGTTAAACAGCATAGGGCAGCAGTCGTGGCCCTGATAGGAGAGGTCAGTGAGTGGGGGCAGAGGAGACCACCTCTGCCCACTCCTCAGCACAATGCCCAGGGGGCAGGGTCATAGGACATCACCACGCCCGCTCTGCAGATCACAGCGGGCCCCACGGCGGGCAGGGGATACTCACAGCAGCTACGACACTGTTCTCTGAGACAAAGGACACACTGAGGAGAGGCAGGAACTCGGTCTTCAGAGTGGAGACCCTGAACACAGAACACGTGACCCTGAGTGGAGCCAATTGTGCATCCTGAGACACAGATGACAAAGGCCCCTGCTCCAAGGAGCTCCAGTCTCAGCTGATGCTGCTGAGCCGGGCACTGGTGGCTCCTGCCTGTCATCCTAGCTACTCTGGAGGCTGACATCTGAGGACTGTAGTTCAAAGCCAGCCCAGGCAGGAAAGTTCATGAGACTCATCTCCAGTTAATCACCAAAAAGCCAGAAGTGGAAATGTGGCCCAAGTGGTAGAGTGCTATCCTTGAGCAAAAAGAGCTAAGGTTCACAGAAAAGCTCAGGGATAGCGCCCAGGCCCTGAGTTCAAGCTCCATGACTGACAATAAACAAACAAATAAAAAGCTAAGGTCCAAGCACCAGGCCCAGCACCCCCCAATAAAAAAACCCCTGACCTTTTCTGCAGGAGTCTCTAGCATGCAGTGACCCCCTAAGTGATCCTACCCTCAGGAGCTGAGGCCTTCTGGCTGGGGGTGTAGGTAGAGACGGAGTGAGACCTTGGCTGCATCCCAGCACGGGAAGAAACAGGAGTTGAGTTCTCTGTCTGCCTCTGCTGATGCCCTTCCCACTGAGGACAGGCTCCCCACAGACAGTATGGTCCTGTTCCTCTAGCCATCAAGGTTTGGCCCAGGCAGCAGTGGCAGCACCTGTCACCCACTGGAGTGCCCATGGAGTGCTGGCCCTGGTGGGCACTCTCCCTCACCCAGGTGCCTCCAGAATGGCCTGTGTGTGCAGCCTCCACCCCCACACCTGGCAATCCCTGAGGTGAGTCAGAAGCACTGGCATCGCCAGCTGCTGGGCCTCAGGAGACCCTGACCCTATGGGGATGGAGCTGAAACACTAGGCGGCGCTGTTGAGGTACACTTGACTTTTATGTCCTGAAGTATTCATGCTGGCTGGAACAAGGAAACACACTTGCACAATTAGAAAGGGTAAAGCCTGAGTCTCCCTGATGGCAGGCAAGAATGTTCTTAGGGGGGAGGGGGCCAGGACAAAGGTGTTAGAGTGCTTTCCTAGCATATATGAAGCCCAGAGGGTTTCATTCGTCAGTGCCACATAAACAGAAAAAGCCCGAAGTGGTGCTGTGGCTCAAGTGGTAGAGTACTAGCCTTATGCAAAAGAAGCTCAGAGACAGTGCCCAGGGCCTGAGTTCAAGTCCCACCTCCCCTCAAAAAAAAGAATGTATTCACAGCCCACCCCAGAAATCAATGCCAGCCCCAGCCTGACATCGCACACTGCACTCTCTCTAGGGAGGTAAATCACTGCACAAATGGCCACACAGTCCATTGTGTGCAAAAAGAAAGACAAGTGCCTGTATCTGTACAGGAATTTTCCAGAAGGTAATGTTTACTTTTAGCTTAAGGAGATTTTTCTTGTTTTCAGAATGGGACCTAGCTAAAGAGACAAGGTTGGCCCTGAACTAGGATCTTCCCCTCAACTGGGATTATAGGCATACCACACTCAGTTTAGGGAGCTACATTTATAATAGGGGGAATCCTTGTAAGAATAAAAATCAACCATAAAATTAACAAAATCCATAGTCAGTCCAGGTAGGAAGGGCTATGCAGCGTCACGTCTCCCAGTCATAGGGTAGTGGGGGTGGGAGGAGAGAGAGACTTACTGTGACCAAGACTACACACAGCCCAGAGAGTCTGAGACCTCTAGCAGTGAGCTACTTTTTTTTTTTTTTTTCGGTCAGTCCTGGGTCTTGAACTCTGGGCCTGGGCACTGACCCCAAGGCTCTTTCTCTCAAGGCTAGTACTCTACCACTTTGACCCACAGCTCTATTTCCGGTTTTCTGGTGGCTCATTGAAGAGTCTCACAGACTTTCTTATCTGGGTGGGCTTTGAACCATGATCCTCAGATCTCAGCCTCCTGAATAGCTAGGATTATAGGTGTCAGTGCCTGGCACAAGCTACCTTTAGCTACCAAGGGCAAAATTGCAGCAGTAGACTCATGACAGGAAAAGGATTCCGGTGTCTCCCCTCCCACATCTAATAAGCATCAAACTCTGCACCAGACTGAACAAGGCTGAGCAGGCGGCCCACTCACGCCAGTGGTCACAGCCAGCTTCTTCTCTGACCCACCTTGAGTGGGTCATCCATGGATGAACAGCGTAAGCTGCCATTTTGAAGGGGCCTTTATGAGCAGCAGAGCAGGAGGTTGTCCGTAGGAGTCACTGGCTACCCTAACTTCAAGGAGTGATTACCCCAGGAAGTGCCACCTCTTCAGAGCTGGGCATGGCAGCACGCCTCTGCCTGTAATCCCAGTACTTGGGAGGCAGAATCGTTGGGCAGAATCATGAATGTTGAGACTGTCTCAAAAAGCCAAAAGATGTCTGTCTGTATGTATATTGTGTGTGCATGCACACATGTACACATGCATGTATGTAGACATGACAAAAACTGCAAAAGGTCACAGAATGGTGGGTCTGTAACCTCACTGGCACCTGCAATCTGACTGGCATCTTTTTCGTGCCAGGGTGCCTCCAGGGAGGGACAGTCATGCTCACCATGGACATGGTCCATCTGCTCCCTACCTTCCAAACAAACAATCAAAAGCAAATACGCACTGCACACTCTTTGAGGCATCAGCAACAGACACAGTGCTGTCGTGGCTGACCCAGGCAAGACGGTTCCCACTGGCGGAGAAGCTGACCCCATGGACCCAGCCACCAGTACCACTGCCACCAAACTCTGACATCAGCTGACCAAAAGGCATCTTGCTGCCCCAGGGTGTACTGGCTGGCTTTTCATCCACTTCTTTAATGTAGGCAGAAAACACTCTGAAGGGAGAGAAAGAAGACACAATCAAAATATATGTATATAGGTTGGGTTGGTGGCTCACACCTGTAATAAAAGCTACAAGAGGGCTGGGAAGGTGGCTCAGCGGTAGAGTGCTTGCCTTGCATGCATGAGGCCCTGGGTTCAATTCCTCAGCACCACATAAGCAAAAAGAAAAAAGCCGGAAGTGGCTCAAGTGGTAGAGCACTAGCCTTGAGCTAAAGAGCTAAGGGACAGCGCCCAGGCCCCAACTTCAGGCCTCACAACCAAGAACAACAACGAAAAAAACCTACAAGAGAGACAGAGATTAGGAAGATAGTGCTCTGACACCGTTCTGGCAAGAAGCTCGCAGGACTTCATCTCAATAAACAAGCTGGGTACAGGGGTTACATACATGTAACCCCAGCTGTGTGGGAGGTATAGCTAGGGGCATTGCTGTCTGCGGCCAGCCCTCGAAAAAAAAAACGCTAGGCCCTATCTGAAAAATAAAGATAGTAGCTCTTGGAGTGTGGCTCAAGTGGTAAAGCACCAGCCTAGAAAATACAAGAATCTGAGTTCAAGCCCCACTACTAAAAAAAAGGGTGTGTGTGGGGGGGAACGGAAAGACACGTTGAGAGGAAGAGATAGAACAGACAGCACAAACTAATCCTCCACTTAAGGCAAGCTCTCCAGCCTGCCCTGCCCTTCCTACTGCCTTCATCTATCTACCTTGGTGACTTACGCATGTGCTTTCTGTAGACCACAAGCTCCTGCAATCTTTGTGGCCCTGCCAGTGCTTAGCATAGAACCTTGCAAAGAATGCGGCCTGCCAGGTTCTGTGAGTCCGCACCTGCATTTGAAGTCACATGACCCTGCAGCCAGCAAGACGTTGTTGGGATGCCAGTCCAGGCTGAGGACGGTGGAGCGGATTGGCTTCTTAATGTGCTTGCTCACCCACCTGCGGGAAGAGGAAAACCACAATGGCTTATCCACACATGATCTACAAATGCCCCTGCATGGGTTTAAGATGGCACCAAGTTTCCTGACAGAGAGCAGGCGCACTTTCGAAAAAGAGAATGTGAGATTGCATTTCCTGTGATGTTAAACCTTTGGGATAAAAACTGGGCTGGGAAGGTGGCTCAGTGGTAGAGTGCTTGCCTTGCATGCATGAGGGCCTGGGTTCGATTCCTTAGCACCACATAAGCAGAAAAAGCCAGAAGTGGCGCTGTGGCTCAAGTGGTAGAGCACTCACCTTGAGCTGAAGAGCTGAGGCACAGTGCCCAGGCCCAGAGTTCAGGCCCCATGACTGACCAAAAAAACAAAGCAAAACAAAACAAAAACAAAAAACCTGAAGGCTGAAGCTGGAGCCAGTGGCTCACACAACTATAATCCTAGCTACTCAGAAGGTTGAGCTCTGAGGACTGCGACTGAAAGTTAGCAGGAAAGTCCGGGAAACTCTTTTCTCCAATAAACTACTCAGAAAAAGCCAGAAGTGGCTGTGTGGCTGAAGTGGTAAAGCCATGGCCTTGAGCAAAAGAAGCTTAAGGACAGCACCCAGGTCTTGAGTCCAAGCCCAGGACTGGCAAAAACAAAACAAAACAAAACAAAAACCTGAAGGCTTAAATTACTTAAGTGTTTCTTACATATACCCAATAAACATTGAAGTAATTTGGATTAATTTTGGCTTAATTCTTTTACAATTGTCCATGAAGCTATGAATTTGTTTGTTTCCCATTGAGAAATCACAACCAAGTAAGTAGAACTTCTTGTTGGAAGATTATCCTCTAATTCTGCAATGCTATTCAGAAAAGATCATTTATGTATAAGCTGCTTTAAAGTCAATCAAAAGCCAGCTGGTGGCTCACGCCAGTAATCCTAGCTACTCAGGAGGCTGAGATCTGATGATTGGGGTTCCAGCCCAGACAGTAAAGTCTATGGGACTTTTATCTCCAATTAACCACCAGAAAACCAGAAGTAGCACTGTGTCTCAACTGGTAGAGTGCTTGCCTTGAGCTGAAGAGCTGAGGGACAGTGACCAGGCCCAGAGTTCAAGCTCCATGACCAACAAAAAAAAGTCAATCAGTACAGGGCACTAGTGGCTCACACCTGTAATCCTACTCAAGAAACTGAGATCTGAGGACTGTTCAAAGCCACAGAAAAGTCCCAGTGATACTCTCATCTCCAATTAACCACACAAAAACCAGGAGTGGCACTGTGGCTCAAAGTGGCAGAGTGCTAGTATTGAGCACAAGAGCTTAGGGACAGTGCCCAGGCCCTGAGTTCAAGTCCTACAACCACCACCACCACCACCACCAACAACAAAAAAAGTTAGTTAAGGTGTGGAGGGAAGAATTTATAGCTAATAAATATTCTCCAGTAATTTAGAAAAAAAAGGTAAATCAGAAGCAGTGCTGATTGATCATGACTATAATCCTAGCTAGTCAAGTGGTTGAGATCTCAGGATCACAATTCAAAGCCAGCCCAGACAGCAAAATCCATGAGACTCTTACTACCAATTAACCACCAGAAAATCAGAAGTGGAATTATAACTCAAGTGGCAAAAAAGCTCAGGGACAGTACTCAGGCCTTGAGTTCAGGACTGACATAAAAACAAACAAAAAGAATAAGAAAACAGCATCTGGCAGCACAGACAAGAACTGTAGATTATTCTATAGAATAATCGAGTTAAGGGCTGGGAAGGTGGCTCAGTGGTAGAGCACTTGCCTTGCATGCTTGAGGCCCTGGGTTCGATTCCTCAGCACCACATAAGCAAAAAAGAAAAAAGCCGGAAGTGACGCTATGACTCAAGTGGTAGAGCGCTAGCCTTGAGCTGAAGAGCTGAGGGACAGCGCCCAGGCCCAGAGTTCAGGCCCCACGACCGGACCCAAAAAAAAAAAAAGAATAATCGAGTTAAGAGAGGAGAGGTTGTTCATAGTAACTATACTTTGATAAGAAAAAAAGATGTGAGATTTGACTCATTCAATGTACCATAAGGAGAAGAAATAAATGCTCAAAGAAATGAAGGATTCTAGAAGGAAACCCCACAAATCCCTCAATGAGGAGAACGTGGCGCTGTAGTTGGGCATTCACACAGTGCCTCAAGAAGCCCTCAGCTGTCCAGGAGTGGATTCTGCAGAGAGAAACACAAGGAGGGCCATGGTGCTCACCAGTCATTTTCAGACTCGAAGTAACAAACGGAAATGAGTCGGGCTCCACTGCCCACAGCAAATTTGTTCTCGAGGGGTGACCACTTCACAAACGTGGCCGCACGATTAATCCTCAGGATCACCAGTGTGGGCTTCCACACACCGTCTTTCTGGCTCCAGACATAGGCATTGCGGTCTGCCCCACAAGTGACAATGCGGTCGCTCTTCGGAGCCCAGTCAATGCCTGAAAGTATGACAAACACCACCTGCTGTGACAGTGGGTCCGGCTCAGCAGAATGCAGCGCTTGACAGCTTCCTCCACCACCAGGCCTCACCACAACCTCACACCGAAACAAGGACCTTTCTCTGCAAAGTGTCTGGTACTCAGGAAGTCCCACAAGGGACTCTGTCTCAACAGAGCTCATTGGTTCAGTAATTGATCACAAGCCGGTAGCTGGTGGCTCACGCCTGTAATCCTAGCTACTCAGGAGGCTGAGATCTAAGAATCACACTTCAAAGCCAGCCTGGACAGGAAAGTCTGTGGGACTCTTGTCTCCAATAAACCACTAGAAAACCGAAAGTGGTGCTGTGGCTCAAGTGGTAGAGCACTCATCTTAAGCTGAAAAGCTGAGGAGCAGTGCCCAGGCCCAGAGTTCAAGCCCCATGACTGACAAAAAAAAAAAAAAAGAAAAAGAAAAGAAAGAAAGAAGAAACTGATCATAAAACAAAAAGACTAATCACAACCTTGTATTTGACTTCATTTGCATCCCAATTAAAAGTTGGTGGGATCCAGGTGTGGTGGAACACACTTATAATATCAGCTTTTGGGAGGCTGAGGCAGGAGGTCAGCCTGGGACACAGTGAGATACTCTCAATAGAAAAAAACAAGGGGGGTGCTGGGAAGGTGGCTGAGTGGTAGAGCGCTTGCCTTGCATGCATGAGGCCCTGGGTTTGATTCCTCAGCACCACATAAACACAAAAGGCCGGAAGTGGCGCTGCGGCTCAAGTGGTAGAGTGCTAGTCTTGAGCTGAATTGCTGAGGGACAGCGCGCAGGCCGAGTTCAGGCCCCACAACTGACAAAAAAGAAACAAAAACAAGAAACAAGAAAAAAACAAGGCAATTAAATAAACTCTGAGACCATGTCCCAAACTTTGTCTTCCCTTTGATGTTTGCCCTACTTGTGTTGCGTATAGTACTGGCTAGTTTTTCCTTCTAGAATGCTTCAGAAAATCTGTTTCCCGTGAAGAAGTTAGTATGAGAAAATATATTTGATTCTTGATTTCCAATAGAGAATTATATTTTGATTTTCCAAAAGCAAATTTTTTTTTCAGATTTAAAAACTGAAACAGGTACGATGGCTCAGGCCTGTAATCCTAGCTACACAGAAGGCTGAGATCTGAGGATCACAGTTTGAAGCCAGTTGGGGCAGGATAGTCTGTAAGACACTTATCTCCAATTAACCACCAGAAAGGGCCAGAAGTGGGCTGTGGTTCAAGTAGTAGAGCACTAGCCTTGGGCAAAAAAAGCTCAGGGACAGCACCTAGGCACAAAAACAAAAACTCTTTTATGTGAGTGGCCAGAAAACAGGCCCCAGTTCAAAGGACCCCAGGAAAGAAGTGAAAAAAAAAAAAAAAAGTATTTCACACTTTTGGCTATATTTGGAAATCTTTCACTTTACCTTTTCTCATTTAAAAATATTTTAAAATATTTCCTAGCCAGGGGCCGGTGGCTCATGCCTGTAATCCTAGCTACTCAGGAGGCTGAGATCTGAGGATCACGGTTCAAAGCCAGCCCAGGCAGGAAAGTCCGTGAGACTCTTATCTCCAATAAACCACTAGAAAACCAGAAGTGGCGTTGTGGCTCAAGCAGTAGAGCACTCACCTTGAACTGAAGAGCACAGGGACAGTGCTCAGGCCAGAGTTCAAGCCCCACGACCGTCAAAAAATAAATAAATAAATAAATTTCCTAATGCTAAACTTCCAATTTAAGACTTAAATGTTTTCTTTCTTAAGCATAAGGCTGTTGGCAGAGGAACTTAAAACAGGCCAGAGCTAATAGAAATGAAGTCCTGGGAAGCAAGCGCAATGAAAACAGCAACAATGACTTCGGTGATATACTTGTTCATAGTGCTTGTGAGCAACATGCGTAAACCACTGGTCAAAGCACGATTGCCAGGATTACTTGCCACAGAGCCTAAGAAGAAGTTTTCATCTATTAGACCAAACTGCTCAAAGCAGCCGGCTGAAGCAACTTTTCTGCCAGAACATAGTAAAAAAGGCTACACGATGACAAAATACTAAAGATACTAAAGAGCACCTATGAATACATAAACATACATGTAAATGCATTAAAAATGAAGTGGTGCTGGACGCTGGTGGCTCATGCCTATAATCCTAGCTACTCAGGAAACTGAGATTTGAGAATTGTGGTTCAAAGCCAGCCCCAGCAGGAAAGTCCATGAGACTCTGATCTCCAACTAACCAGTAAAAGCTCAGAAGTAGAGTTGTGGACCAAGTGGTAGAGCATTTGTTTTCAGCTAAAGAGCCTTGAGCAAAAAAAAGCACAGGTGCAGTGCCTACATCCTGAATTCAGCAAACTGTTTCATGGCTTTAAATGACAGGGCTCAATGCCTGAGCCTCTTCACTGAAAGGCTGCGTGCTTGACGGGGAAGGGGAGGGCGCACCTCTTACCTGTGATATGCCCATTGTGCTCCTTCAGCTCTTGAGCCTTCACCCACTGACTCCCGTTCTTCTTGTAGATGTGCACCTCATGATTATTGGGGCTGAGGGCAATCTCTGGGGAAAGAAGACCGCATAACTGTTAATACCTGATCTTAAAGCTGCCACCAAAACAAAAAGAGATGTTGCAACTGAAAATGAAAAAGCAGTTTCAAAAAAAGGGGTTCCCAAAGTCATCCCTGAAGAATTCTTTACTAGCTGGGTGCTGGTGGCTCACGCCTATAATCCTAGCTACTCAGGAGGCTGAGATCTGAGGATCATAGTTCAAAGCCAGCTGGGGCAGGAAAGTCCAAGAGACTCTTATCTCCAATTAACTACCAAAATGATGGAAGTGGAGCTGTGACTCAAGTGGCAGAGTGCTAGCCTTGAGCACAAAAGCTTAGAGACAGAGCCCAAACACTGAGTTTAAGCACCCAGGACTGACACAACAACAAAAAAAAGATATGCAATTGTGAAATGCTCTGAAGGTATCAAATACTGTAGGGAACTCAACAGCATACTTACGGGTTCGGTCCCTGTTCCAGGCATGACAGGTGATGGGCTCTAGTAAGAACTGGTGCAGCGACATGATTCTCAGTATTTTCTAAGAACAGAAAGCTGCAACAGGCAACAGAAACAAGCATTTCAATGGTAGGCAACCAGTATTCAACTTATGAGGACCCTAAACTGTTTGGGATAACTCACACATTGTTCTTTCATTAAAAAGAATACACTTTAAAAGGTAAGCATTTAAACAGAACTAGCATTGTAAACATCACTGTAGACTCTCAAACCATGGTTTAAAGTTTGTAGGGGAAGCCGGATGCCAGTGGCTCACACCTGCAATCCTAGCTACTCAGGACGCTGAGATCTGAGGATCGGGGTTCAAAGTCAGCCAGGGCAGGAAAGTATGTCAGACTCATCTCCAATTAACCACCAGAAAATCGAAAGTAGCTCTGTGGCTCAAGTGTTAGAGCTTTGAGCTGAAGAGCTGAGGGACAGCGCCCAGGCTCAGAGTTTAAGCCCCATGACAAAAAAAGAAAAGAAAAAAAGTTTGTGGGGGAAACAGGCTAATGTACACAGCCTCAGATTATCACCCCACACAGCACTCTTGAGTTACAAAGGGGAACACATGGCTTCATAAATGATCAAACTTCTTTATCAAATAGCAAGGTAATCTAACCTAACAGGGCTCCTAAGGAGAGGCAAGAAAAAGCAAGTGCACGCCACCATTTTAACACTGACCTACTTGGTCATCCAGACCAGTCTAATCCTGAGGCAACATGGTCACCCCATCTAGAATACCCTTGCATGCAACAGGCCTGCAACTCCTCAAAAAAAGGCAATACAAAGCCAGGCACAGGTGGCTCATACCTGTAATCCTAGCCATTCAGGAGCCTGAGATCTGAGGGTGACAGTTCAAAGCCAGCCAGAGCAGGAAAGGCTGTGAGACTCTGGTCTCTAAAAAAGCCAGAAGTGGAGCTATGGCTCAAATGATAAGAGTACTGGCCTTTGAACAAAAAAGCTCAGAGACAGTGCCCAGAGTTCAAGCCCCAGGACTGGCACACATACACACAAAAGACAACAGGAGAGGAAGATTGTTGAAGACTTAAGTATCTCATAAATGAAACTTGATTATACTGTGTAGAAACAGTAACAAAAGATATATGCTGTCAGGCAACAAGGTTTTTGTCTTTTTGTTCTCTTGCAGGCTGGGGCTGGAACTCCAGGCAAATGCTCTACTGCTGAGCCACATTCCCAGCCCAATAACATAATATACAACTGGGAAAATTTGATTTGAGGCTATTACATAACAATAAGGAATTCTTTTCATTTTCTTAGCTATAGTAATGGCATTGCCTTAAGGCAGAGGCATGTTTTGGCTTTTGGAGATAATAAATATGAATGAATTGCTTCAGATAAAATCTCACAACATCTTCTGTAACTTCAATTGTTCAGGACAGAAAATACAGAAAATATGACTGTGGTTAAAAAAAAAAAAAAAGAACTAAGGGACTGGGAAGGTGGCTCAGTGGTGGAGTGCTTGCCTTGCATGCATGAGGCCCTGGGCTCAATTCCTCAGTACCATATAAGCAGAAAAATCTGTGGCTCAAGTGGTAGTATGCTAGCCTTGAGCTGAAGAGCTGAGAGACAGCACCCAGGTCCAGAGTTCAGGCCGCACGACCAAAAAAAAAAAAGACAACTAAAAATCTGTTAACTACTAATCTAGGCAAAAACTACACAGGTGGTTTATATTACTGTTTAACTATTTTTCATAGGATAAAAAGCAAGAATATGCTGGGCGCCAGTGGCTCACACCTATAATTCTAGCTACTCAGGAGGTTGAGATCTGAGGATCACAGTTCAAAGCCAGTCCAGGCAGGAAAGTCCGTGAGACACTTATTTCCAATTAACCACCAGAAAACTGGAAATGGCACTGTGGCTCCAGAGGTAGAGTGCTCGTCTTGAGCTGAAGAGCTCAGGGATAATGCTCAGGTCCAGAGTTCAAGCCCCATGGCCAAAAAAAAAAAAAAAAAAAAGCAAGAATATGAAAAACATTCATCAAATTAAAAACAAAATTAAATTCACTCTCTTTCTACTCAAATAGCAATTATTTCCTCAACTGAGGAAATTTTTCCAAAAGGGAACCAGTCTTTCTTCACATAGCTTTGTCATTTCCTTTTTCTTTTCTTTGGTGGTACTCTGAGGCCTGGCACTTGTTAGGCAGGTGCTCTACCCCTTGAACCACATCTCTAAGCCCAGCTTTGTTATTTCCTTGTTTTGGTGCCAGTCCTGAGGCTTGAATTTAAGAGCATAGGCGCTGTCCTTGAAGGTTTTTGTTTTTTTTTGATCTGGTCATGGGGCCTGAACTCTGGGCCTGGGCGCTGTCCCTCAGCTCTTCAGCTCAAGGCTAGCTTGAGCCACAGCACCACTTGAGCCACAGCACCACTTCTTTTTCCCCCCTGCTTATGTGGTACTGAGGAATCAAACCCATGGCCTCATGCATGCAAGGCAAGCGCTTTACCACTGAGCCACCTTCCCAGCCCCCGTCTTTGAGTTTTTTTTGTGTTCCATGCTAACACTCTACCACAGCGCCACTTCCAGCTTTTTAAAGTATTTAATCAGAGATAAGAGTCTCACCGTAGCAGAATGTACCTCAGTGGTAAAGTGCTTGCCTAGCAAGTATAATATCCTGGGTTCAATCCCCAGTACCAAAAAAGAAAAGACAAACACACAGTTGTTTTTTGTTTTTGTTTTAAAGTCTCATGGACTTTCTTGCCTGGGCTGGCTTCGAACTGTGATCCTCAGATATCAGCATCTTGAGTAGCTAGGATGAACACCTAGCCAAGCTTGTTATTTCTATCTTACTATAGATAAATTTCAACACACTTACCTAAGTCATGCTAACCTAGGGAGAATATTGAAATGTGAATTTTTGTGAAACAGGTATTTTTGTCTTTGGCCCTGGGTGTCATTTACGCAGCCCCAGATTGTTCTCCAGTTTCTTGCCTTCCTAGTGCCACTCCAGGCACACTGCTTGCTCCTCTCCAGAAGTTGATGCTTACCCCAACTGTTCTGTCACAACAGGTTAGACCCAGAGTCCTTTAAAATAACACATCCTGTCACGAATATCTCTAATTAAAGCAATTTAGTTTAAAAGCAAAATCTTGTTGACTTCCCTCTGTACAGTATTTTTACCATAAAAACATATAAAAAAAAAGAAATGTCAGGGCTGGGAAGGTGGCTCAGTGGTAGAGCGCTTGCCTTGCATGCTCAAGGCCCTGGGTTCGATTCCTCAGCACCACATAAGCAAAAAGAAAAAAGCCGGAAGTGGCGCTGTGGCTCAAGTGGTACAGCGCTAGCCTTGAGCTGAAGAGCTGAGGGACAGTGCCCAGGCTCATAGTTCAGGTCCCACGACCGGACCCCCCCCCCCCAAAAAAAAAGAAATGTCAAAACCAAAAAAAAATCTTGTTGGCTGTCACAAAATTTGTTGGCAAACTAATAATTTCACATGAATATCTGTATAAGAAAAGCATATGTTTCATGTGTAGCCATAGACAGAGGTTTTCAAAAGAGGTACGTGGTCATACAATGGTATAATTACTTCTTAAAATACACTTCTAATTTTGTTCAATCACTCAAGTTCTATATTTGAACATATATCTGAACCAGTCTTTCTTTTATAATCCTGTGGCTATTTTAAGTCTGCAGGCCTAGACAATAATCCATGTTAGTTAAGTTTATAATGCATGCAGTGAACATGTGACTTTTGTACCGAGAAAAGCATACTTCTGACATAGGGTGATAATTATACTCTCTACAATGACCGGCATTTACATGGAATCTAAAAATCTTTGTGCTAATTAGGCTTAGAGAGGAGAAAAATGGGGACAAAAGGTGGTGACATTAAACATAGCAAGCTCCTTTGTCAGCACTGAGAGAAATAAAATGACTTATGGAAGAGTAGAATTCCAGGGACTCCCACTCCTGTTCTTCCTGGATCACACTGAATACTGCCATTCTGATGTATGGACACTGAACTTGGATATACTGACATACACTGTACATTCTAGACCTTTAAAAGTATCTGTGGAAGTGGGAATTTCTATTCTCTGTTTAGGTTCAGTTTTTCAATACTGTGATTCATCCAGTTTCTAATAATTTAATCACTCTCATGACCCAACCCAGCCACAGCAGGTTCTTCTAGGAGATAGCCACACCCTCCCCTCCCAAGGCCCACAGGTTTCCACTCCAGCTAGGCCAGCAAATCCAGCACATGCGTTTTAACCTAAGATTAGATATTTAGCTCCAAGTACTGCCACAACTGACTCCAAAGGCATGAGCTGTAATCTTCCACAATGATTTCCCCTTCTTTAAATGGGAAACCTAGAATATCAGCCAAATATTTTGTGGTAGCAAGCAACCAATTAGTTACACCCACTTCCTACCCGGGGTAACTATACCTTCCTCACTGATTTCAGATAACTTAACTCTAAGGGCCTACAAGAAACTAGAGGGTTAGGTAAAAGTAACAGAAGAGGAGCGAGCTAGGGTAATTTCGATCATTTGAGTTGAAGTAGACAGAAGGCTCCAAAGTCACAATATAAAAACAGATGGCTTTATAATCAGATTCTAAAGTACAATTAACTAAGGGACTACCATGTTCCCAAAAGTATTCTAAGTAACGGGCTGGAGCTAAAAACCTAAATAAATCTGCTATCATTCTGGTCCTCAAATCCGGAGAGGGAGAGTAAGATAGATAGGCAGTAATACTAGTTAGTATTAATTGAACACTTACCCTGGGCCAGAAACAGTTCTCAGCAGTTTAAATATGCAAACAAGTGGATGAGGAAACCGTGGTACATAAAAGTTACCTTCCCAGGGTCACCCAACAAAGTGACAGCTTGGAGATGGGAACTTGGCTGGTCCTAAAGTAAAAGGCTCCACGGAGTGACTAGGAGCCCGGAAAAGAACAGCACATAATTCTGATTTGGAGGAAAAGTGTCCTAAGACTCGGGCGGGATTAAAGAACTCGAGGGGAGGTTTTCTTCGAGTTGGGGAGGGTGGCCCATGGCAAACATCTTAGACACTAAAGAAGGGCCCCTCGTAACGATCCATTCGGGGGAAGATCGGCCCATTTTAATAGAATTTTATGGTCTGTGACAGATGCTCAGAGTTGAGGTACCACTAGGGTTTAATGGGGCGCCGGAGAGATGGGTGGAGAATCTTGATAGAGGGCCGATCTGTAACAGTGGGGACCCCAGGAGCTTGAGGAACGTCACGGGGTTAACGGGGACCTCCTGATCCCCTCCCCTGGTTTCTCAGAAGGTCCGGCCGCCCCCCAGCTCTGGGCCCCGCGGCCTAAACCCCGCTCTCACAGCCCCACAGCCCCGAATTCCATGAGAGATGGGGGCCGTGGTGGCCCGCAGGGCCAGCCGTTCGCCCCTGGAGCCCCTTACCTGGGGTTGGGGCGGTTCCGGGGCTCGGGGCGGAGGATTCGCGGACTCTGGTCAGTCGACGCGAACGGGCTCCGGCGGGCGCGCGGGCGGAGGACGGAAGCCGGGAGGGAGCGGCTGACAGGTCCCGGAAGTAGCCAGGGCGCTTGCGCGGAGCAGTCGCTAGCCGCGTCTGCGCACGCGCACGGCTCGGTGGGCGGTGGGTCTACGCACCGTACGGCTCGGTTGGGCCGGGCCTGGGTTCTGGGAGGCCTCGGGGCCGGGGGCCGGGTGGCTGGCTGCCTGGGGTCTGGAGTTGGTCCCTCGAGGTGGTGCGAGACGACTTCCCGAAGGTAGTGACCAGAGCTCGCTTCTGGGAACATCTCCTCAGCGAGATGTGTGCTCTTTGTTAAGACGCGAGTTACTGAGGGTGCGTGTGTGTGTGTGTGTGTGTGTGTGTGTGTGTGTGTGGTGTGTGTGTGTGCGCGTGTGCGCGTGCGCGCGCGCGCGCCTGCCTGCCTGTGTGTCAGTGTGTGTAAGTCGTGGGGCTTGAACTCAGGGCCTGGGCACTGTCCCTGAGCTCTTTCGCTCGAGGCTGGAACCATACCACTTTGAGCCACAGGGCTCTTTCCCTCCCTCCCTCCCTCCCTCCCTCCCTCCCTTCTTTCCTTTCTTCCTTCCTTCCCCCCTTTCTCTCTTTCCTTTCTTTCTCTCCTTCCTTCCTCTCTCTTTCGGCAGTAAGAGTCATGGGTTTTCCTGCCCGGGTGAGCTTTGAAATCACAGTCCTCAGATCTCAGCCTCCGAGTAGTTAGGATTACAGGCGTGAGCTACGGGCACCAGGCCAGAATTGGGGACTTGTGGTCTTCGTTCACCTGGAGGGCGACTTCTTTTCAGAGCTTCAGCGGCCACAGGTGACCTCTGCTCGGCCTGTGATCTTGTTTCCTTTGTTCAAAGCTTCTGAGATCCAACTCTTCCCGCTCCTTCTTCTCCCACTTTCTCCTCCCTCACCTCCTCTCCTACTCCTTTAGTATCCCTTGAAAAAGAAAAGTTGGAGGGAACTTGGCAACTACTCCAAGATGCAACTACTCCGAGAAGATGCACTTTTTTTTTTTTTTTGGTCGGCTGTGCGGCCTGAACTCTGGGTCTGGGCGCTGTCTCTCAGCTCTTCAGCTCAAGGCTAGCGCTCTACCACTTTGAGCCAGAGTGCCACTTCAGGCTTTTCTGCTTATGTGGTGCTGAGGAGTCCAACCCAGTGCCTCGTGCATGCAAGGCTAGCGCTCTATCACTGAGCCACCTTCCCAGCCTAGAAGAAATGTCTTGAACCAATGGGCTGGGAAGGTGGCTCAGTGGGAGAGTGCTAGCCTAGCATTTATGAAGCCCTGGGTTCAAATCCTCAGTATCACATAAACAGAAAAAGCCAGAAGTGGCACTGTGGCTCAAGTGGTAGAGTGTTAGCCTTGACCATAAAAAGAAACTTAAGGACAGTGCCCAGACCCTGAGTTCAAGCCCCATGACTGATACACACACACACACACACACACACACACACACAAATACAAATACAAATGTCCTGAACCACACTTCCTCCCAGACAGACTGCTGCCCTTGAACCTGTGGAAGTTCAGGGGTAAACACTGAGTCTCACTACCTGTCTCCAACGTGCTTGCTCCGTTCCTGATGATTTGTTTGACCACCATGATGTGAAATAAACTCTGCCTTAGCAGAAACAATAGTCTATTCTGAGCCAGAAGGGACACAGGTTAAATTACTGTGAATGACATCTGTCATCATGGGAGAGGTTACTCAAATGTTTACATTCCCAGAATGAAAGAAAGGCATAAATCAGCACTATTATCAATGTCAGTTGATGAGGCTTCAGCTAGATGGGGAAATCAAATCACTTCCTATAGGTTTCAGCTATTAGCTTTGAGTGGGTGGGGGACAGGGGTTCCCTAAGCTTAGTGATCCATTCCCAGAGGCTTACACAATAATCATGAGAATATTAGCTAAAATTTTTTAAAAAAGTGAATGGTGATTCAAGTGTCTAAGATAGCCCAAGATCATTTTGTCACTCAACCTGCAACATTCATCTCTCCATAATCACTATGTTAATACAATTCAGCTTCCAGGAATTTCAGTTTACAAATTCATGCCTGTTCTAAAGGTGAGATTTAGTAGCCTTGGGCTGGTGGTGGTTTATACCTGTAAACCTAGCTACTTGGGATGCAGAAATCTGAGGATTCTTCTACTAAAGCCTTCTGAGTACTAGGGTACTAAGCATGTACCTCAGGACCTGGCAGCAGAACATTTTTTTTAGTCTAAGACATAGCATAGGAAAATGTAGAAAGAACAGTCCTTTATAACGTTCAGCAGGTTCCCTTTGGGCCTTTGATTCAACTAAGTTATGACTGGCCTTTTTCTAGCAAATCTTCTGTCTTGATAGTAGCTAGTGAGTGGGAGGGTTGGGAGTTTCTGTGATGATTTCCTGAGGAGAAATAACAGCCTTGAAAGCTAGCTCAAGACATTAAGAAAAGCCATTTAGTTGTTGGTCCATTTTCTCTGTGTCTGTACCCTTACTTTGACTTTTGTGGATTTGCGGATTACCAATTAGTGTCCTTTTTTTGTGTGTGTGTGTGCTGGTCCAAAACTTGAACTCAGGGCCTGTGTGCTATTCCTAGTACTCTACCAGTTGAGTCATAGCTCCACTTTCGGCTTTTTGGTGATTAATTGGAAGTAAGAGCTTCATAGAATTTCCTGCCAAGGCTGGCTTCAAACCACAATTCTCAAACCTCAGCCTGGGTAAGGCTGAATAGCTAGGATTACCAGCGTGAGCCACCAGTGCCCAGCTAGCATAATTTTTTTACAAGACCATAGATTATATTTTCGTATCAAACCATTCTGCAATTACATAACAAAGTGTGTGTGTCACAAGTCCTTTTTCTTTTTCTTTGTGTGTGCTGGTATTAGGACTTGAACTTAGGGACTAGACATCATTCCTTAGCTTTTTCACTCAAGATTGGTCCTCTACCACTTGAGCCACAGTTATACTTCTAGCTTTTTGGTAGTTAATTGAATATCATAGTCTCACAGACTTTCCTGCCCAGGCTAGTTTTGAACCTTGATCTCAGATGCCAACTTCCTTAGTATCTAGGATTATAGGGGTGAGTCACTGGCTCTGTGCTGGTCCATTTTCTTAGAAATACGAAGCTAAAAACATCACCTCATCTCCCACTACAAGAACTTTTCTAGTTCTGCTATTAGGAAGTTGAGGAAGGCACAAACACACCTGGATCCTGTTCCCTGAAAGGCAAGGAGGGCTGCTTTGGAATTCCGTGAGGCGGGGGGAGGGGATGCCCTTTAGCAAATCACCACAATGCCTCCTTAAAGCCTAGGGAGCCCCCCACATTTCTCCAGTAAGAAGCCTCCAAGCTGACACCTGCTAGAATGGTTGATAGGCCAAAAGCCCCTCTGGGGATAAGCACAGGAAGTCCTAGGGAATGACCTAAGGAACTTGGGAAGTGTCAGGCTTAATGGGATGTGTACCAAGCCATTATAATGAAACTTCAGGTTAGTATGGGAGGGACTCTGTACTTGTTTTGGCTTAATTGTTGAGGAAATGGAAGGGTAGAGTTCTTCAGATCATACCCCTGAGCAAATGGAAGCGCGAACAAAAGCCTGAGTTTAAATGGGGGAAAGTCGAATTGCTATTTTATGGAAAGATATCCCTAACTGCACATCTCTCAGGATGTTTCGTCTAGCCCCAAAACTCAAATATAATTCTAAGATACGACCTGGTGTCTCCCAAGAAATCCACACACAGTAGTTCCCCCTCTCACCACCTTGTGGCAGTGTTTCCACATTTGGTCCAGTTGCAGGGAAGGAAAAAAGAAAGGCTGAAAAAAATGGAGTCAAGAAGTGTTAGAACAATGGAAACCTGTGACGCCATTCAATCTAAAGACAACCAGGAGGGGCCGGTACCAGTGGCTCATGCCTGTAATCCACTCAGCTGCCTAAGATTTGAGGATTGTGGTTTGAAGCCAGCCTGGGCAGAAAATTCTGAGACTCATTTCCAGTAGGTCAGCAAAACACTGGGCTAGAAGCATGGCTCAAGCACCAGCCATGAGCAAGAAAGCCCCGAATTCAAGCCAGAGTACCAGCAACTACCACAAAATCCATTACAGATATGCCAGTGAGCATCCTGAGAGATGCAGGGATGGAACTTGTAGTCAGCTGCACTACAGATGTTATCTCTCAAAGGATTCTTTGACTCTCTTGGCTTTAGGAAACCTAGTTTGTCTTTATTTCTCTGATATGCCCTTTCAAAATGTGGAAAGAGCAGAGGACACTGGTGGCTTATGCCTGTCATTCTAGCTACTCAGGAGGCTGAAATCTGACCATGGTTTGAGGTCAGCCCAGGCAGGAAAGTCCATGAGATTCTTATCTCCAGTTAACCAGCAAAAAGCCAGAAATAGAGCTGTGGTTCAAGTGGTAGAACACCAGTTTTGAGAGAAAAATGGGCAGCATCCAGGCTCTGAGTGAAAGCCCCAATATTAACACATGCTTGTGTGTATGCACGCACACGCAGTTTAAAATGAACTTCAACAAAATGGTGCAGTATTCATGGCTTCCAATAGAAAGTAGTCTAGGAATTAGGGTCCAAGTATACAATTAGACCCATGATATTTGGTAGTTGTGAAATTTGTACTCAGATTTGGAAGTCTTAGATAAAAATACAAATTCTTAAATACGAACACTAGAGCTGGGTATGGTAGCATATGCCTGTAATGCCAGCACTCAGGAGAGGGAGGCAAAAGGCTCATGAATTCGAGACCATGCTGAATACACAGGGAGACTGTGTCTTAACCTTCCCCACCCCCAGCCCCACACACAGAAAATGAAAGCTATAAAGAGGAAAGCAGGCTGTCATTATGTTCTGCACATATCTTTTATGGAGGCTATAGTGGAACAGATCTGCAGTTGTCCACGTGAGAGAGACTTTTCTAGAGAAGGGACAGGTCCTGACATGACACATTCTGTCCTTGACATGAATGTGTAGCCCCTCAACTAAGACAGACCCATTGCTCCTGTCACCCCAATGCCTGACACGGCTCAAAGCTTAGCCCTGAGCAGCTGGA